ATGTATCTGTTGCAACTTTTGTTCTCTGAAACAACTTCATAGATTCTTGTTTCTTAAAGATTTCATAATTGTGTTACTGATATACTTTTTGATTATGTGCTTGGTAAAAGGGAGGGCTTCCCGGTGGCGAGACTCTTAAAAACTGTAAACCTTTAGAGAAAATGGTTAAGAAACAAGACTCTGATGGACGACTTAACGCAGCTATTTGTTGTGCTCCTGCGTTGGCTCTTGGTACTTGGGGTCTACTAGAAGGCAAGAAAGTAAGTCAATAGTGACCAATTCCTGTTTATTTATCTTGTTTTCAGTTCTTGTCTAATGTTTGAATATTACATGGGTTTTCTTGCAGGCAACTGGTTACCCTGTTTTTATGGAGAAACTTGCGGCTACTTGTGCCACTGCTGTTGAGTCAAGAGTGCAAATAGATGGAAGAATAGTGACCAGTCGTGGACCAGGAACCACCATTGAATTCTCCATCACACTTATAGAGCAGTTGTTTGGGAAAGAGAAAGCTGATGAAGTCTCTAGTATCTTGGTATGTTTTGTCTCTGCCTCTTTTATCAACCGATGTGGTACGTGTTCATGTCACCTCCTCTTAGACTTACTAGTTCTCCTTTTGAAATCAGCTGCTTCGTCCTAACCCTGGTGAGGAGTTTACTTTTACTGAGCTTAACCAAACGAACTGGTCATTCGAAGATACACCACAGGTAAATGTTCAATGGCCTCTACACTTGGTCCTTTAACATTTTGCCAAGACTGTCTTTGTTTGATCATTATAGGATTCCTAGGAACATGCTGTGTTGTAAAGCTTTTGTCTTTCTTGATTGATGAGAACATAACCGTTAAACCGGAGTAAACCGACGTTAGCCATGTTGAAGATAGATTTGAGTTTATGTTGTCTTAGCTTATCCTAAAGTAGTGGGATTGCATCTCCACTCTCTCACGTTTCTTAACCACTAGATTTAGTGGTTAGTTTCTTTCTTTATCTTGTGTATTTAAACATCATTGATTAGCAAGTGAAGGAAGACTTGAAAATTGACAAAACAGAGTTTATCTCTTTGGTTACTTTGTGTGTTCTTGTGTTAACAAAACACATCTCTTGGCTTTGAGGAGGGACCACCTATCATTGATCAATAGTCGTTTATGTGTCAGAAAGATAATGCTTTCCCTTTGCAGATTCTCGTACCCATTGCAGAGGAGTCAGAGGAAATTGAAGCCATTGCGCTTGTAGATATCCTGAGACGGGCAAAAGCAAACGTAGTGATTGCTGCAGTTGGTAACAGTTTGGAAGTTGTAGGATCTCGCAAAGCTAAGCTAGTAGCAGAAGTGCTTCTTGATGAAGTTGCAGAGAAGTCGTTCGATCTGATTGTGTTACCTGTGAGTAGTGCTAACTTTCAAAAGATGAACACTAATAAGTCTAAAAGTAAGTTTTGACAGTCTTTGATGAAAAATAACCAAAAACATAATCCAACTTCTTTGATAAACTACAGGGCGGTCTTAACGGTGCTCCAAGATTCGCAAGCTGCGAGAAACTGGTGAATATGTTAAAGAAACAGGCAGAAGCAAACAAACCATATGGAGGAATCTGCGCATCGCCTGCTTACGTTTTCGAGCCTAATGGTTTACTCAAGGTGCATAAGTCAAATCATTGCTAGAATTCTAGTTTCTTGTTATAGCTTAAGTCATTGAACTGAGATATAAGGAACATGTTTTGTATAGGGTAAGAAGGCAACTACTCACCCATTGGTGAGCGACAAACTTTCGGACCAGAGTCACATTGAGCATAGAGTCGTGGTAGATGGAAATGTCATAACAAGCAGAGCTCCAGGGACTGCAATGGAGTTTTCACTTGCGATTGTCGAAAAGTTTTACGGGCGAGAGAAAGCTCTTCAGCTCGCAAAGGCAACACTTGTGTGATTTTCAAACAATGAAGTATGAGAGTGACTTGAATAAAAGAAGGCGGCTTTGCCTTTAGTTATCTCTCTATTGGTTAATCAGTTACTTTGTAGTATAACATATTATGAGCTTCGGGTGAGTGGTTAGTGTGTAAGTTTATGCCTTTATAAATGAATAAACAAACGAGATTTTTCTCTGTATGTGGCCGATATTTTCTTTAACCCTCTGCAAGAGTAAGAGGGTTTGCTTGAGGAAGATATTTTGTTTTATGGAGAAATAAGGTAAATACGAATTTGCCCCCATGTTTAGCTTTGGCGTAATATTTGTTACCATTTGATAATATCATTATACCAAATCAGTGAAATAAAATCTTCACTCTTCTTTCTTAAACAAAAATAATTTCCTACCATTTGAAAACAGAGTAATGTCACTAATTTCTTAGCAAAATGTGTTTATTTGTAACTTACGGTAAAATTGGGGCAATTTTATTGCATCTGATAAGATCAAGGGGTATTACCGTAGATTTCGCTGATGTTCGTTCGGTTAGTAAATACCGAAAATGCCCTCGACACATAAACTACTATTAAACCCTCACAAAACCCTTGATTTCATTTCTAGCTTATCTGTTCTACACACTCTCCGCTAGGGTTTTGTCTGCGAAACCCAATCTAGAGCTTCCATGGCGACGCATACCATTTCTCGCTCCATTCTTTGCCGACCGGCGAAATCTCTTTCCCTTCTGTTCACGCGATCCTTTGCTTCATCTGCTCCTCTCGCCAAAACTCCGGCGTCTTCTCTTTACACGTCGTCTCTGCTCAGCCGTTCCCGTCCTATCGTCGCCGCTTTTTCCTCTGTTTTCCGTGGCGGCCTTGTGTCTGTTAAAGCTCTCTCAACGCAGGCTACGTCGTCTTCTCTAAACGATCCGAATCCCAACTGGTCGAACAGGCCACCTAAGGAGACGATCCTGCTCGATGGTTGCGATTTCGAGCACTGGCTTGTCGTCGTGAATCCACCTGAGGGTGATCCTACTAGAGACGATATCATTGATAGTTACATCAAAACCCTAGCTCAGATTGTTGGCAGGTAAATCCCCATTTCAAAAGTCTCTTTTGTGTATGTTCTTCTAGAGATTTTAGGGTTGAATAAGTGAGAAATCCACTACCTTTGTGTTCTATATATGTTACCTATATGACGGATCTGTGTGTTTACTTAGATCATTTTGGAGGTCTAATATGATATATCTCGTTTTGAACATTTCAGTGAAGACGAAGCTAGGATGAAGATCTACTCGGTTTCAACTAGGTGCTACTTCGCTTTTGGAGCCCTTGTGTCAGAAGATCTGTCTCACAAGTTAAAAGGTAACTCTTGCCTTGTTGGGTTTTAGTTTTCCCCATTTCTGTGTTGACATCTGCATTCTAATTTTCTTGTAACTCTCCAGAGTTGCCAAATGTGCGCTGGGTTCTTCCTGACTCTTACCTGGATGTGAGGAACAAAGACTACGGAGGTAAAGCTTAGTGTGCTATTTGTATCTTCCATCATACTTGCTGGTTTTGAATTTGAATTGTCGATAATGAGAACTATCTGTTGTTAGTCTTTACTATGTGGATTTTTTACTTGCTCCATACCCTTGTGTTAGATATTGACACAGGGCCGAATTCTATTTATATAGTTAATTAACATTTCTAAAAATAAGTTTGGGTGCATATGGTAGATTTGATTAGTGATAACTGTTTTGAGACTGGTGTTGTAGAAGTCGCAGTGATGTTGCTTTGTTGAGAGTTTAAATCTTTATGGTGATCCTATTAGAGAGTTAGTTTGATGCGTTTTTTTTATTATATTGACTTTCAGGGGAACCTTTCATCGATGGCAAGGCTGTTCCTTATGATCCCAAGTACCATGAGGAGTGGATAAGGAACAATGCTAGAGCAAATGAAAGAAACAGACGCAATGATCGTCCTCGCAACTTTGATAGAACCAGAAACTTTGAGAGGAGAAGAGAGAACATGGCAGGAGGCCCTCCTCCTCAACGTCCTCCAATGGGAGGTCCTCCTCCTCCTCCGCACATGGGTGGCTCTGCACCTCCTCCGCCTCACATGGGTGGCTCTGCACCTCCTCCACCTCACATGGGGCAGAACTACGGGGGACCACCACCACCAAACAACATGGGAGGACAAAGGCCGCCACCTAACTATGGAGGACCACCGCAAAACAACATGGGAGGACAGAGGCCACCACCAAACTATGGAGGAGCACCACCTCCGAACTACGGAGGAGCACCACCAGCAAACAACATGGGAGGAGGACCACCACCTAACTATGGAGGAGGACCACCACCTAACTATGGAGGAGCACCACCACCAAACTATGGAGCAGCACCGCCACCTAACTACGGAGGAGCACCCCCACAGAACAACAACTACCAGCAGCAGAGTGGTGGAATGCAGCAGCCACAGTACCAGAACAACTACCCACCTAACCGGGATGGCAGCGGGAACCCCTACCAGGGTTAAAGTAGTTGAAGCAGTCGTGGGTTTCCTTCTTAATCATGCATTCTGGGCTGTGTATAGATAATTTGAGGAAGAGAGAGTGCAATAGCAAGACTTAAAAACTTCTTTATCTCGAGTGTTTATCAGTCTGGTATTATGTGAGAGAGAGAATAGCCTAAGTAACTCTGGCATGGTTAGAACTTTTTACGCTTGCGTTTCGTTTTATTAGTTTATATCCTACATCGATCTCAAGTTCTTCCTTGTGATGTTGGTTCCCACTCATGATTCTGCTTTTAAACGCAGCATGTCTCGCACAGGCCATTGTTTTGCGTCTTTGTTTGGCAACTTCTGATTCCTCCCCCAATCATGTTTATAACTCAAATATAATAACAGGAATTTTTCTCAATGTCAGCTAATTGCTTTCGACAAACTTGACAGATCTTGTTCTAGAAACAATTTGATGCTTACAAACACATCACACCCAAAACATTTTTTGAAGGTGAGAGTAAAGTAAAAAAGATGGGCCTTGTATTATTTATCCTGCCCATCATTCTAAATTTCAGCCCAAATTGAAAAATCTCGTAACCGTATAAAGCGCCCTCGCTTCCCTCATAATGTATTTTTTTTCTATCGCCGTCTAATATTTTCCTTTATTTATTTTCATTACTCGTCTCTTGAGTCGCTTTCTCTACGGCTGGACTAGGATTAGGGATTTTCCGGTGAAAGGAGAACTCTAGAGTTAAATCTACAATCATGGATATGATGAAGAAGCGAAAGCTCGATGAGAACGGTGGAGGACTCATTACCAACGGTGGCGGAATCATTGGTCCTACTCGATTGACGCCACAAGACGCGAGGAAGATTATCGAGCGATTCACAACTGATCAGCTACTCGACTTATTGCAAGAGGCTATCGTACGCCATCCCGACGTGCTTGACTCTGTCCGATCAACCGCCGACTCTGATATCTCTCAGCGGAAGCTATTCATCCGTGGTCTCGCGGCGGATACTACTACGGAAGGTCTTCGGTCGCTTTTTTCCAATTACGGAGATCTCGAAGAAGCTATTGTGATCCTTGACAAGGTCACTGGGAAATCCAAAGGGTATGGTTTCGTCACTTTTATGCACGTTGATGGAGCTTTACTAGCTTTGAAAGAACCATCTAAGAAAATTGATGGGCGTGTCACAGTAACGCAGCTCGCGGCATCTGGAAATCAAGGTACGGGTTCCCAGATTGCAGATATATCAATGAGGAAGATCTATGTGGCGAATGTTCCTTTTGATATGCCGGCGGATAGGCTATTGAATCACTTTATGGCTTATGGAGATGTTGAGGAAGGTCCTTTGGGTTTTGATAAGGTTACGGGTAAATCAAGAGGCTTTGCATTGTTTGTATACAAGACAGCTGAAGGTGCGCAGACTGCTCTTGCTGATCCGGTGAAGGTGATTGATGGAAAACATTTGAATTGTAAGTTGGCTGTTGATGGTAAGAAAGGAGGAGGGAAGCCTGGAATGCCGCAAGCTCAGGATGGTGGTTCTGGTCATGGACACGTTCATGGTGATGGAATGGGAATGGTGCGTCCTGCAGGACCTTATGGTGCAGTTGGTGGTATGAGTGCTTATGGTGGGTACTCGGGAGGACCACCACCGCATCACATGAATTCCGCGCCCTCTTCAATGGGTGTTGGTACTGCTGGGACTGGTGGATATGGAAGTGCTGGGTATGGTGGACACTATGGTGGATATGGAGGTCCAAGTGGTACTGGCGGCTACGGTGGACTTGGCGGTGGGTATGGTGGGCCTGGTGGTGGAAGTGGGCCGTATAGAATGCCACCAAGTTCGACGCCTGGTGCTGGTTATCCGGAGAGTGGGCATTATGGTCTTTCATCATCTGCTGGGTATCCTGGACAGCATCATCAGGCTGTTGGAACATCCCCTGTGCCAAGAGTTCCTCATGGAGGAATGTACCCAAACGGTCCACCAAACTACTGAAAAGGTAAGGTTGTTGTCCAGAGTGTGTTTCATTACCATGACCATTGCATGTTTATAAATTCTTCTCTACATATTGGTGTCAAGAGTGTGTTGCATTATTTGTATATTTTTCCAGTTTTTCTTGGTAGGAATTCTCTGTTGTTCTCTTCCCTGTGTTTCTTTTAGTATATTTGCTTGTTTGTACTGAGGTAGCTACTTGATACAATGCCTTGGAGTCTGTATGTTATATGCTTGTGTTCATTTCTTGATTTTACGATTTAACGCATGACAGATAGCCAGAAAAGTGGCACCTTGAACCCTTTTATGGGGAATGTTTGGCTATAGCATAAGCAATTCCTGGCATCGTTTCATGCAGTTTTTCTGTTGGTCTGCATAGGTTGTCAGTTAAATAGATCAAGCTGCTATCTTGTGCAGCATGCTTTATCTCTCTATCATTTGCTTTTTGTGACGATAATATGCATTTGATCATTGCAACTTGAGTCCTTGTTTTCCTTGTCAGTGTTTAATCATCTGCTGAAGTTAGCATGAGGTTGATTTCTTTGATAATGCTAATGACCAAATTGAGTTGTGAATGGGTGTTGATTCAGGTTTGTGACAGCATATTGGGCGAAGATGCTTTTTTGTGCTTAGTGGTGATTGCCTGATTGCAGCTCTTTAATCTCTGGAATGATGAATGTATAGCTGCTTTGACCTCTCTGCACTTGACCTGAATGTGCTTTGGTTGCTATAATGAATGATTAGAATAGGATATATTTATGTACTTTTTAATCATAGAGATGCTCGGCAGATGAGTTTTGTTGGTCAGATTAGTGAGTCTTCAATAATATGTTGTATTTGCTCCTACGTTGTTTTCTGGTTAATTGTCCAGCCATTCAATTGGTGACTTGCTGAATTGGTGGTTATATTTCTGAAACCTTGATACAATTATTTGACTCGTTTGTGACTTTTAAACTGGCTCTAGAGGCTTTTTGCTTTGTGATTATTGACTAATGATGCCTAGGTAAAGTGGTGCATATGTTGTATTTGTTTTGCAAAGTAAATGACTGGTCTATTCATGTCAAAACCATAAGTTGAATGGCGCTTGATTTGCATAAAAATGTGAAATATGAAGGTGGTGTTGAAGTCGTGCTGGTATTTCATGCTAAATTACGACCCAGTGTGTTTACGTCGGTTTGTATAGTATGACAGAAACTGTGTTCTTACCGTGAATCAAAGCTTAGTGTGGCTATTCCAAGTGTAGTGAGGACTCACATCTCGAGTTGTTGACTTGCTTAATGTCTGACATTAATTTTTTTGTGAAAATCTCATGGCCTGTGATGTCGAGGTGTGGATTTTCTGATCACAAGATGCTGAGTTTTTATTTTTGGGGATTTGAAAAAATGATTATGTGTGCATAGTCTCGGGTAGGTCCTTTATTTGTCACTTGGAAGACAGATTTTGATGCCCTAATAGCTTCTTGCTTCTTTCTTGGTCACACACAAGAAAATTTGGGTTTCAGGTGTAAAAAAAAACCGTCATTGTTAGAGCTCTCTGTAGCTTCTATAGACTCTTTTCTTACCAATGACTACTTGTTTTCTTTTTGCCTTACATTATTGTCCTTTTGCTGAGCGAATCGTCAATGCTCCAAACTGAAAACGGAGCGGACTGAAGAAATCCAAACAACAGCTGGAGGCGATGTAACTTGAGTGAGCTATCGAAAAGGAATGGAACTGCGACGAAAACATGTAAATAATAATGTGTATTGTTGTTCTTTGGCATTTTCACACTCTATTCTGTAACTTACAAAAAAAATCAATCATAATCACGTTTTAATAGCTCTTTCACACAAATGTGTTCGGTTATTCTATCGTGCTTATTCCGATGATGAAAAGTCAATGAGACTGCGCAATTTTTAAGGAAAAAAAAAAGACATTTATTTATTTATTAACAATGGCATGGTTCCAAAAAAAAAAAAGGCATGGTTCCAAACCCGACTAACAACAATGTAGCAAATCATGCCGATTATATATATTTAATTAGTTGTAACTTATAAGATTAAAGAAAAAAAAAAAAATAACTTATAAGATTAAACAACAAAAGAAATCTGAAAATTGTAAAGTGGAGCCCTCATTACCACTAAACAAAAACATATAAGCTCTTTTCGTTTTCTTTGATTTTTTCTTCCTCTCGCTTTCGATTCTCTCATTTCTGTTCCTCTCCAAATTTTCCCAACCAAAAATGTTCCGATCAATGATTGTTCGATCTGCTTCCCCAGTGAAGCAGGGTCTTCTCCGCAGAGGATTGGCCTCTGAATCTGTTCCCGATCGCAAAGTCGTCATCCTCGGTGCCGCCGGTGGGATCGGCCAGCCACTTTCTCTCCTCATGAAGCTTAACCCTCTCGTCTCATCTCTCTCCCTCTATGATATCGCCAACACTCCCGGCGTTGCCGCTGACGTTGGCCACATCAATACCCGATCTCAGGTACCCGATTGCTTCCATGTTTTCATTTTCGGTCTAGATTCGATGATCGTCCACAATTTGCTAATCTCTGATTTGTCTGAATCTGTAAATACTTCTCCTTTGTGCGATTATCTTGTTTCTAACAGGTATCTGGATACATGGGTGATGATAATTTGGGGAAAGCTCTAGAAGGAGCTGACCTCGTCATTATTCCAGCTGGTGTACCGAGGAAGCCTGGCATGACCCGTGATGATCTTTTCAACATTAATGCTGGCATTGTCAAGAATCTCAGCATCGCCATCGCCAAGTACTGCCCTCAAGTAATCTTCCTCTCATCTCTCTCTCTGTTTTTTAAATTCGATATTACTAAACTGAAATGTACACACCAAGAACGTTGTTTTGCCTTTTCTTACTCTTGATCTGTTATATAACCAAATGAGTGATCTTTGGAAATGTCTCTTTCTTGAATCAGGCGCTTGTCAACATGATCAGCAACCCTGTGAACTCCACTGTTCCTATTGCAGCTGAGATTTTTAAGAAGGCTGGTACCTACGATGAGAAGAAATTGTTCGGTGTTACCACTCTTGACGTTGTCAGGGCCAAGACTTTCTATGCTGGAAAATCAAATCTCAATGTTGCAGGTTCCTCTTTTTGTCTTTTCTTGCTCTTTTCCTATGATCTTTGGCTGCATAATTAGCACTTAGTTATCTATTTGCTAACTTCAAACGAAATATAAATGTTATGTGTTGTTATAGCTTCTGATGTTTAGATATGAATGTTTGCATATGCAGAGGTTAATGTTCCAGTTGTTGGTGGTCATGCTGGCATTACGATTCTTCCTCTCTTTTCTCAGGTTACCTATCACCTTTACTCTTTCTCGTAGACTGTGGTTCTTGCTTATCATTTTGGTCCGTTTGTTCTAAAAAGTGTTTTGTTTGATAAAATATAGGCTAGCCCTCAAGCCAACTTGTCGGATGATTTAATCAAGGCCCTCACAAAGCGTACCCAGGACGGAGGGACAGAAGTCGTGGAGGCAAAAGCTGGAAAGGGTTCAGCTACATTGTCAATGGCGTAAGTTCATAATTGTCACTTTTTGTTTCCGCAATGGTTGAAAGAGACTGCCATTACGCACTCTCTGATATTGTCACTAATGACAAATTGTTTTGTGCTATCTCCACTTTCTGGTATTCGTCTTATATCATAAGAGTCCTTTGGTCATGTGTTTTGTTTGTTCTCTTATGAAATCTGCTTTCTGTGGAAGTTATGCGGGAGCACTCTTTGCTGATGCATGCTTGAAGGGACTCAACGGTGTTCCAGATGTGGTGGAATGCTCATTCGTCCAATCTACCATCACCGAGCTTCCTTTCTTCGCCTCAAAGGTAAGAGTACCAAAAACTATTAACCATCGTTAATCAAAATCACCAGATTATATATAGGTCATAATGTTCATTTAACCCCTTGTCTCTTTTTTTTTTTGATATGGCAGGTAAGACTTGGGAAGAACGGAGTGGAGGAAGTGCTAGATCTTGGGCCACTCTCAGACTTTGAAAAGGAAGGCTTAGAAGCCCTCAAGGCAGAACTCAAAGCCTCTATCGAGAAGGGAATCAAATTTGCTAACCAATGAGTTTTTTTTGCTTCTTGAAACTATTGATTTTGGACTAAACTTTTAGGTTTTAATGTTGTCTTTCCAATTTTCTGGTAGAGTTGTCTTCTTCCTCTGCGGATTTTCGAAAATCCCTTCAATAAATTCTCCATTTCTGCTTGAGGAACCATTGGGGACTCTGTAATAAGAAAAAAAACAAGCTGTTGTGCTATGTTGGTTATGATTCTTTTTCGTTTTGGAAATGAAATGTGTGCTCTTATTGTTTTCTTAACAAAGAATAAAAATTTTAATCGTTGTGAGTTGCATTATTTGGGCAAGGTACTATTCATAAGTTCGAAGTTATATCTACCTTGCAGTTGCAGTATATAATTAATTTACAGACAGATGAAAGTGTACTTGATGATATTATTGGATCACGAGCCTTTTTGTCTTTATGATTTTTATTTTCTCACTTTGATGAATATATTGATGTGAAAAGAAGCGTGAGAGTGCGATAGGACATCATGTCCCTTCTCAATGTCTCACCTTTTCTTCTCTTTTTGTAAACAAAAAAAATAATGTGGAAATAAAAGACTTATTAGTAAGTTCATAAAAATAAGATTTCATACGATTTAATAAAATAATAAACTTTATCTATGTATTTGATATTTTTGTTTTTATTTGACAATGTATTTGTTTACTTTCTTCAAATCTGTCTTGTGTAAATAACATGGTACCTAATAATATGAAGTAATTAATATTGAGGGATAAACACAATAACAACGACGAAAATATGAGTAGTAAATAAAATAGAGACCCTTCGAAAATGACAAATAATATCGAACAAAACAAAATAATTTTGATAGCGAATGGACAGGAGGGTGTTTATTACTTATTCATAAGAAAGAAAGGAAAAAAAAAGTAATCAAAATTTATGTTTTTGAGAATAAAGGAAACATAGAGACAACTGATTTTATACAAGTGATCCGAATGGTACTATCGATATATAAGTATATAACATACGACAAAAAGCACGAATTTGCCAGTGAAGGGTAAAACCGTGATTTCGTTAAGAACCAAAGGGTAGAGTAGGTGAAGTGTTAATGTTAAGTGGAGCCATTTGTCATCTGTCGCCACGTCATCTTGAGAAGTCATGTCCTACGTGCCAATTCGATGTTACGTGTCTTTTCTCTCTATTCAAAAATTCGGAAGAGTTGTTTTTTTTTGTGTTATTTTCATGTTCACTCCTTACACTATTATAAACGAATTAAATTGGGCTCATTCTTTCTGTTTTTACAATTTGACCCATAATTTACACAAAAAATGCGAAATCGAATAATGTAAAGACATTTTTTACTTGAGTTTTGACCAAACAATGATAATCGGTCGATTGAAAACAGAGGAAACTATAGATTACATTTTTGAGATGTTTATATTATATACTATGAAATTTGTTTCATATCTAATCTTTGACAACAAATTATCTGAAATTTTGTTTCATATTTATCTTGAAACATGATTCCAACTTGTGCATGTGTTTTTTTTAATATTACTAACGAGTGAATGATGACGGGCCAAAAGAAGTCATGAATACCCGGAAAGCATTGTGTTGTGTCTCCATGTTACTAATTTATTTCCATACTAACTTTAAAATAATCGATTATTTTGATTGATAAATAATATCTTTTTGACATATAAAAAAGATAATCGTATTTCTTTTCTTTAATTTTATAGTACCACGTCCTTCTTAATGCTCGAAGAGCAAACAATAGACACCGTACATACAATTCTAGTCTATGAAACACATTCCACCATAGTGAAGTAGCGGAAGCTTTAATGGATAGAACTAGAGATCCGTTGATTCCTCGGAATACCGGAAAACTAGGGTTTCTCGGATCTGTTGATTCCTCAGAATACCAGAAACGAGAGAACGTTAGGAATTCGTTGATTCTCCGCGAATACCGAATCCTACGTCTTCTTATAATCGTTGAGATCTCTCGAGATCTACCGAATACAAGGATTAGAGAATACTCTTCTCTGAAAAGCTAAAAGCTCTATAATTTTATTAATCAATCAACTGTATACAAAAGGAGGCCTTAAGGGCTTATTTATAATAAAACATAAGAAAACCCTAGAATACTCTAGAAACGCTAAACGATAAAGACTAAAATAAATAATATAATTAAAATATAAATAAATGGGAATTATCCTAATTCTACGCTGCATCAGGTCTCGCCGGCCAAGAAAAGATTCGTCCTCGAATCTTGTATCTCGCTGCATCAGCTCTCGCCGGCCAAGAAAGATTCGACCTCGAATCTTCAGCAGGGTTTTCAGCAATGGAGATCTTCGAAGATCCATCTTTATCTTCATCTCTTGATTTTGTCCAATTTTTGCACGAATTGGATCAAACCCAAAATTTGCATGAATCTGATTTGACCCGAAATCTGCACGAATCCGTTTTGACCCGAAATTTGCACGAACCGGAATTTGTACGAAACTTGCACAGATCTGATCTTTCATGATTTCTGCAGGAAACCCGAATTTTGCACAGATCTGACTACGCCCGGATTTTGCACGAAGAGTATCTTGCCCGAATTCTGCACAGATTTTCTCGAACGCATCGCTGAACACAAAATCGACATGATCAATAAATAAGACATCATCATCTTCATAGATATCGTAGATAGGATCACCGTAGATTTCTCTGTAACCGTCTTCAAACAAACTTTCTTCTGCAAAGGGATAAAAGTTACCACTCAACATGATCACCAAGATCGTTCTTTGATCGAGGACGAATCTTGTATCTCGCTGCATCACATAGTCACCTTTGCTCCGATTCCATTACGGATCTCCTCTCCACATTTTTTTTATCAAAGATCTTTGCTTACACGATAAAGGAGGGAGATGAGGATGATAGTGGTATAGTCAATAGTTCCTACAATATCCTTATTGTCATATACCAAAATTTACACTATTTCCATTGTTATGAGGTGCAAAATATCAATTGATCTTATACGCGTTTGGAAAATCCAACCAATACCTAAAGTCTCCCGCACCCAAGATTAGTGTAAAATAACAAAGAAAAGATACATCAAGTGGTCGAATATTTGAAAAGTCTCATTTAAAGTTGAATCCTAAATCTTATTTTTAACATCAAACTTATTACAAAACTAGTTTTTTTTTTTTTTTTTTTTTGGGAAACAAAGATGATCCATACTTACTACTTGCCTACTTGGCCATATTGTCAACTACTTTGATGATCAAAATAATTATTTTGATGAGGCATATATATTGATGTCAAATACTCAAACTGACGTTCTTAATCAATGGTATTATTAAATAACTACTATTGGCGTTATTGTGCTTAATTATTGCATTACACACAAAAACCCATAATTAAAATTTAAATCTCTCGCAATCATTCTATTTTGTTGTGTTGCAAATCGTGACCGTAATTCCAAGTGGAAGCTACTTTTTGATTTACATTTAATTAATATGCAACCGTGGGATGACATATATTCTCTTTTTCTATACTAAACAACCTATTTCATGTTTAAATATATATTATATTAGGTTTGTTAATTGACCCTTTTATATAATGCTAATATGTCACTTTCTGATTTATTATTCCATTAAAGTAGATGGTCTGATAGTAATTATTTATATGAATAGTTTTAAACTATCAAATAATGCTGTATAATATATAGTTTCCAACTAAAAAATAGTATAGTTTAATGTAAATGATATGATCCTTTGCGTCAAGTTTTTATTATTGCTTTGAAGAAAAAACATATTCAACTACTTGAAAATTACGTTAGCTTACCGTACGTGTGTTCAAATTTAATATGCTACAATATAATATAGGTTTGTTCTATTTATTCGGTTTTCGCCAATCTGGAGATATTTTGTGGTACATATATTACAAGTTTACAACCACAATATATTCCATACATGAATTAGTTGTGCGAGTTATAGTCAAATTGGTTGGGATTCAAGAAGCATTATACTATTATAGAGTGATCCCACCAATTATTTTTGAACTTGTGGAATTCTCAAGATCTTAGAAATATCTCCGTTGAAGCTTAGATTGTCTTTTACTCACCTTTATTAGTTTTTTTATACGTCTTATTCTTCAACGTCAAAATACCTTTCCTATATGAATTTGGATCTCATTTTGTTTAGAATATAAGACAGGATTTATAAGAACAAAAAAACATCAAAAACGAACATGTAATAAGAAAAAAGAAAATCTTAGGATACAGACTAATATAAAGAGCCCTAATTGTATTGCTAACTAATATTATATTCTTCTTTTAACGAGTTCGATTTTTGGAATAAAATCTGCTTTAGTTAAACTATTGAGATTCTTACAACAAAAAGGTAAAGAAGTGGAGCATCAATAAGCTTTATGTATTTCCATAGAAGTAGTATGGGTCAACCCTTAAAAGAAACCGAGAAGCACAAAAGGTTGAATTGAACCTTGACCCATCTAACACCATAGGTTTTAGGGTATTTATTCATTTTATTGAATTTGGAAACTCGAAAATAAAGTAGCTTAGTTCCTTCCAGTAATTTCAACTCTTTTTAAGTATATATACTTTCATTCTAACATATTTATTATGACATGTGTGATTATGTATGTGGACATCAGGACATGTCCACGAAAAGAGTGTCTATTTTCATATCAAAGAAGTAATTCTGACCAAACATAGTTGTTTTTAACACTAAATTAGTCTCGTTAATGTATTCCATTAGAACATAATGATTTTCATATAAAAGTAAAACACATACTTTTTATTTTGTTGTGGGAAACAAGTTTGGTTTTGGAAACATCTAATTCTAAGAAACTAAGGGAGTATAAATTTTCAACAATTTAATTTTTTTTTGGCACCCTACGTACAATTCAATTTATGTGTATGTTGATTATGTATTTGGTTGTATTTTGAAGTGTTTACATCTACATATTAAACTAAACATAAATTAGAATTTAGAAATTAACATGAACAACATGGAAACATGGAATACTTACCGTTAAAAAACCTTATAAGTTATAAAAATCAGATTTTTTTCTATAAAAAAACAAAGAATGGAAGAAAAAAATGAATAAATTTGGGAAGCTTTGATTACCCAAAAAAGAAAGAAAGTAAAATAAAATAAAAAAAAGGAAAAAAGAAGTAATAGAATGTGGGGAAGAGATGAGAGAGAGATGTTTAAATGAGAGAAAAAAAACACTTACCCAGTTGCGTCATCATCATCAAACCCACAAGGAAGGCCACAACAACACTCTCCTCTCTTCCCTTCTTCTCTCTGCTTATTTTACTTTTCCTTTTACCATCATCCCTCTCTCTCTCTTTATACATTTTCCCGAGAAAGAAATAAAAAGAAAAGCTTTCTCTGGGTTTTTCTTGATTGGTCAATTACACATCTCCCTTTCTCTCTCTCTCACCTTGCTTGCTTGCTTCATCTCTTTGGTCTCCTTCTTGCGTTTTCTATTTACTTCACAGACCAAACAAGAGAGAGAGACTTTAAGCAATAGAAAATAAAAGAGAGATATTCTCTCAGCTATGGGTTAGTCTACAATTTTCATTAAACCTCTTCTTCTTCTTCTTCTTCTTAGGATTATTTTAGCTCTGTTTTTTTTAGGGTTAGGGTTTTTAGGTGAGGAGAGCAAGTATGCGGGAGTTTCATCCTTTTTGAGTTACTCTGGATTCCTCACCCTCTAACGACGACCACCGTCGCCGCCGCCGCCGTCTCGACGAAGACGCTGACCTTCCTCAATATGCTCAACCAATGGCTGACGACCAATACCTTCACCCGCCGCCTCCTTCTTCAATGAGGCACCGTGCTACGTCGGAGGCGGCGGACGGCGGCTGCGGCGAGATCGTTGAGGTGCAAGGTGGTCACATTGTTCGGTCTACCGGAAGAAAAGATCGGCACAGTAAAGTCTGCACGGCCAAAGGACCACGTGACCGGCGCGTGAGGCTCTCTGCTCACACGGCGATTCAGTTCTACGATGTTCAAGACAGGCTTGGTTTCGACCGACCTAGCAAGGCCGTTGATTGGCTTATCAAAAAGGCTAAGTCTTCCATTGACGAGCTCGCTGAGCTTCCTCCCTGGAATCCCGCCGATGCAATTCGCCTTGCCGCTGCTAACGCTAAACCCAGAAGAACCACCGCCAAAACCCAAATCTCTCCGTCGCCCCCGCCGCAACAGCAACAACAACAGCAACAGCTTCAGTTCGGTGCTGGATTCGACAGAGGAGGAGCAGAGCATCCGAGTAACGAGTCCAGTTTTCTCCCGCCGTCGATGGATTCAGATTCGATAGCTGACACTATAAAGTCGTTTTTTCCGGTGGTTGGTTCTTCAACGGAGGCTCCTCCGAATCATCAGCTTATGCACAACTATCACCATCAGCATCCGCCGGATTTGCTTTCTCGAACTAATAGCCAAAACCAAGATCTTCGTCTCTCGCTGCAATCGTTCCCGGATGGTCCACCGTCGCTTCTCCACCACCAACATCACCACCACACCTCTGCTTCCGCCTCCGAGCCTGTTCTGTTCTACGGGCAGAGCAATCCGTTAGGGTTTGACACATCGAATTCTGTGAGTTGGGAGCAGCAGTCGTCGGAATTCGGAAGGATTCAGAGACTAGTGGCTTGGAACAGCGGCGGTGGCGGAGCAACCGATACAGGAAACGGAGGAGGGTTTCTGTTCGCTCCTCCTCCTCCTTCAACGACGTCGTTTCAGCCAGTTCTTGGCCAAAGCCAACAACTTTATTCTCAGAGGGGTCCCCTTCAGTCCAGTTACAGTCCCATGATCCGTGCTTGGTTTGATCCTCACCACCATCATCAATCCATCTCCACCGACGATCTCAACCACCACCACCACCATCACCTTCCTCCGCCGGTTCACCAATCAGCAATCCCCGGAATTGGATTCGCCTCAGGTGAATTCTCTTCCGGTTTTCGCATACCAGCACGGTTTCAGGGCCAAGAAGAGGAGCAGCACGACGGTCTCACCCACAAGCCGTCCTCTGCTTCCTCTATTTCTCGCCATTGACAATCGAAACTAATCCTCTCAATTCCAGGTTTATCCTAAGTTCTGTTCTTTTACATCAAAAATTAATACTTTTGTACTTATTTGGTCATTGAACTTAAAACCATTTTGCAGGGCTTGTCAAGCTTCCATGCACATTGAAGCTTGACTTAGATTGCTCGGAACAGGGGAGGTGTTCTCGGTTTGTGTATTCAATGGCTTGAAACTAGAAAACGCAAGGAAAGGAAGAAAAAGAAGAAGAAGGAACAGCAAATGTAGCTCACAATTTCAGGTTCTTCTTCCAATATCCTAACCTTGCCATTTGTAATTTTTCATCTTTTCACCAGTTAGACCAACGTCCTGTAGCTCAATTATGGTTAGATTCACAAGGTTTCTTCTTGTTGTGTTATGTTTGTAACTTTGTATCATCTTCTGCAATACCCAGATACTTGAGAAATTGCAGTTCCCTGTTCTTGTTGTGTAACTCCATGGATGTTCTAATAAAGTCTGAAACTTTCTCTTTGGGTTTTACTTTTTTACTGCTTTCTTCAGATAGGGAAATGCTCTGTTCAAGCTATATCCTTGTTATTAAACAACATGAGATTCCTATTTCTCACGTAATCCTTTGGTCCCAATAGTTATAAGTTGGTCATTTTCCATGAACAGTAAGTTTTGAATTGTTTCTTCTTCTGGAACATCAGGGGGATTTAGCCACTTCCCTTAAATTACAAGTGAAACTTTCCTCACAAGAGTAAAAATATGATTATTGTTTTTTATGTCTGATGTCAATAATTGTTCTCTCTCACCTACTTTAGTGGTAGGAGGAGATCCACCAAACTTGAATGTGATGTTGTCTCTGATGAGTAAAAGAATGGGGACATGAGATAGGTATAGAGAGCCACCCATGTTGGTCTAAATGAAGGAAGTTGATCAAAACTAGTCTATCTTCTCTATCATCATCATCTTTAGATTAATAATATTGGATTTTGCAAGTTTAGTCAAAACACTTGGGTCTAAATGCATGTGTATTATAAGAATATTTAACTTTACCTTTTAATAGAAAAGCAGCAACACCTTTTCATGTGATGTAATAAAAACACACCAGATGGATGTGTTGAGATATCATAAAGTACGTTACATCAAAAGATAGAAAAGAAGATTCTTCAATTTATAGGTCTAATGAGTCATGACTCAAAGAGCATATCCATATCTACCGTTTATTCGGTCTATTCGTTTGTCAACAGATAAGATCATTAAGTTTGTTCTATAAGACAGTTGTACAGTACAAAACTATCAAGTAAAACGTTTCTCATTAAACCTCAAAATATCTAATGGGTTGAAGAAGATGGAACCAAAATTGTAAAAGAGATGTCGCTTTAAGAATGGTCCCCTCTCTTTCTCTCTTGTAAGATCTCAATGCTTTTTTCAAAAAATCTAGTTAAAAAAGTCACAGCCTTTTAGACTCTTGACAAGTCCATAAATAAGTAGCATGCATACCAATTTGTAATGAGCAAAACTTGCAAAAAAGAAACACATTAAAAGCACAAAAGGTGATCGTTTTTCTCTTTTTAAAGATTAATCAATTTAGATCATAGGATCAGTGTCAACCTCAGCAAACCATATGTATGAACTTTCATAGATTGAACAATGCAAGAATTTTCCGAGACTGTCATTAAGGGATGGATAAATGTGAAGACTCAAACCTCAAAATAACTCTAAAGCTCTCTCTCACCAACATGTGAAGCATGAAGCAATAATAAACATGTGCAATCACATCAATCTCTTTGATATGAAGTAAACAAATCGTCTAATGGAGACAACATATGAACATACACATTGACAAGTTTCTGTGGCAAGGGATAAAGAAGTTCATCAATTGGGATAACAAATTAAAGAATGGTCTTTCTGAAGTAGAGAAAAAAACACACTCAATCTATGAAACCGGTTCTTCTGAAAACAGCATTCCTTACCTGCCGGAGATCTCTCCCTTTAAGTGTCCTTCCTGCTCCTTCAAGCACTGAGCAAGATAACAACGACGACTGAGCCAAAGACCGAGCTACAATCTCGTGAGGTGGAAGCATTTCGCCTTCCTCTTCTTCCTCCTCATCATCATCCACCACATCAGTCAGCTTGAATTCCTTCTTATGACGATTCATCATCGCAGACGACACTAACGGCACTTGAACCGGAGCTGATTGAGGATACTTCCCACCACCTATAAAAGAAGCTGAAAACGGAAGCCTTTCTTGAGGCGGTTTAGGCGCGGTTGGGATAGCTCGAGCAGAAGACGAAGAAGCAGCTGATGCACCGCCACCAGAAGAAGACGATGAAGAAGCTGTAGAGGAGACAGAAGTGGAGAGAGCAGCCGCAGGTTTGTGGTGAAATACATGACTTAAGTAACTACTATTTCCAGAGGATTCAGGAAGAGCCGCGAGGATACCAGAAGCTTCCACGTTCTTCAAACCGCTTTTGCTCCTCTGAAGCTGACGAGCAGGAGTTTGTTGCTTCGCCGGAGATGATACCGGAGAATGACGAGCTGGCGCATGAGATATGTCAATTGCGAAGATGTCGTCTTCATTCAGCTCACCGTCTGCAGAGTCAGAGATGGTGGCTAACGACGACGGTGAGGAAAAATCGATTCGTGGATTTTTGTTCATTGTTGTTAAAGAAACTCTTGAGATCTGAGAATCAGAGAAATTGTGTTGATTTGATAAAGAAGAGTCTTCACCAACCAAAGAAAGATTAGATTTTTAACGACCTGAAAATTAAAGAGTAGAGTTTGGAATTAGATCGATCCATTGTTGAAAGTTTCGAATTTTCGATTTCTGGGTAAAAAAAGAATGAGAAGGGTCGTTTGCAATCAAATCTTCCAAGAGATTTACTCAAAGAACTCAATCATAACCACAATAAATTGAAAACCTTTCATGTGAACAAGATAATTAGGTCGTTTTTTCCCCAGAAAAGTGCAGCAAACACGAAGGTCGGATTCCAATTAAAAGAAATGAATTTAAGCTATAATCAAAGGAGAGATCCAGAATCGAAAAAAAGATTCGAAATTACCTCAATTCTGGGAAGAAAAACAAATAACAGCAGCAAATCAGGTGCACGAACCAGCTAAGCGCGATCTAAATGTTTTAGCAACAGAGAGAGGAAGAGAAAGAGACCAAAAACAATAAGAAGACCTGAATGACATTTTCTAGAATTTGGTATCCGTACAATACGTTGCCGTTTCGTAACATTGAAAGCCCAATAGAGTAGGCCCACAACTAGTTTGTTGTATACAATAGAAGAAAAAACAAACAATTAATCAAACAAACCAAACCAGACAATTTTTAGATGTAAACATAAACCGGTTTTTCTGTTGGCGATTAATCAAAATTATCCGGGACCAGGCTTTTTCGAGTTTCCAACTTCCTTGGCGTATGGAAAATCCGGTTTAGCAGAGGTCTTTGTGATCACATTATTGGGTGATGATTTCCCGGGTTTTTTAGCTGGTTTGATCGGTTTATAACTGACGTAGCATTGAGCCCTAATCTCCCAAGGTCGAGCCGCAATCCACCGTTCTTTCCAACTCCATCCCCAGCTTTCTTTGCCAAGGTTAAACGAAGCTTGACCTAGATACTGTGTAGCATTAGCCCTCCACTACAAAATACATTAAAAAAAAACAAAAACGTTACTTGAGTCACAAGTTATCTAAAACACAAACCAACCAATATGTAAGTTTTAAGTCTTAGTTTCAATGACCTGATGTGAGAAAGCATAAGCCATTGCTCTTTCACGCTTCACCGTAGCTTCTTCTCTCTGTTGTATCTTTGCTAGAATCTCCTCCATTGTTTCAGAACCTCCACACCATTCAACTTCTAGATCGTGAAGCTTGATCTCCAGCTTCAACCGATTCTCCAATCTTTTGTGTTGGAGTCTACCTTGTGTCACCATATACAAACGTCTTGCCCTGACCTGACTCTGTATATCGCACCAAGAATGAATCACATTGAGTGCAGTCGAAGTTTGATTCTTCACTGTATGGCCTTGGATCAGCGCATTAAATCTCCTCGCGCTCTTCAAGCTGCATAGTCTTTTTCTTGCCTGCAGAAGATTCGCAACAACGTTAAGGAAAAATGGAGAGGTAAATCAGTTTTCAGATAGTGGATAATAACGAACCTTGAATGCTCGAAAAGCCTTTTGAATGCGAATAACAGCGACTTCTGAGGTAAGCTTAGTAGAAGCAGCAGAGCTTGATTCAACCGGTTTGACACGGTTTGATGTTTCAGAAAGTACCTAATAATAACATCTTTGAAGTCATTTACGACAAGAAAGAAAAGAGAATGAAACAGAGTTTTTTTTTACTAACGTTGCCTCGATTTGATTTGTTCTTCTTTGTTCCGTTTAGACAGATGATAGAACGGAGCAGCCATCCAGATCCCATGACAGAAGATTATCTCAGTATAAAGGTAAGGGATTAAGAACAGCAGAATGTTTTGTTAAAGAAGATTATCACATAATTTGGCTGAATATTTAACTAGATTTTGTGAAAGAGATTAATATGTGTTCTTTGTTTTAAGGCACAAAAAGGTTTAATGTTGAGTGGTTTTTAAGTAAATGAGAATGAGAGTTGAAGCTTCGCTCTCTTTGTGGTGAATAAACCCATCTTGGTGACCTGACATTTCAACCAATGGGGAAGGTGTTGTTTGATATTTTCTTCAAATTCAAGGTGGGTCTCTTTCTGATATTTTAATTAGTTTAGGCCAAGATTGTGGAGACTGGAGACTGATCAAAATAAAGGACGAGATTGGTAAAAGAAGATGGTTTAGGATAAAAATAAATCAATTTTCTAACATTGGTCCCGGCGGGGCTCGAACCCGCGACCTTCGGCTCATAAGACCAACGCTCTAACCAACTGAGCTACGGGACCTGCTTGTAAGTTCTGTTCCATACATTTATTTGTCTGATTCTTATTAATCTTTTTTGCAATTAATAAATTAAACACTACTATCCAAATTCTTGCATCCAAATAAATTTCCAAATTCGACTTTGCATTGGTAAAGCTAGATTGGATGCTTTTCTCAAGCTGAAAAAATCATGTATTATAGACACAATATGAACTTATTATGTAAGAATGGAAAACTACTTTATCTCTAACTCTAACCCTTTCATATAGACCAGCTGGTATATGATAATCTCACTAACTATATCACGATCTATATTGTCATCATACAAGCTTTCTTCACTTAGTTCTATAGGCTCTTTAGGCACAAAAATATTCTCTCTAGCACCCACCACCCCAAAGCTGGTTCATAGAGTTGCAGATGTTCTCTTCAGGAGGTGGATCCATAAAATCAAAATCTAACAAGTAGACTATTTTCAATGGCTTCAACAACAACACAACGGTACCAAGATTAAAAACCTCATCATTTCCTTATTTAAAAAAAAAATCATGGTATCGGGAATGACTTTAAGACGATGTTGATAAAAAGTATTAGAAAAGAGACTATAAAATTTAAATAAGCGAGTTAACACAACATTTCCTCCTACAAGTAGAACAAACTATTAACCATCGAAATGCCTTTAGAAAAGAACAAGACCCCATGGGCCATGTAATCTTTCTTCTTCTTATTCTTCCTCTAGTTCACAATCCCTCCTCTAGATGATCATTCGCGGTTCTCCTCTTCTTCTCCAGTCTTTCTCTTCTTGCAGTTTTCCTTGAATGTTTTAGCATCAAGAACCGTCAGTAAATCCAAAATCATGCTATGTATTTCACATCTGAGGTCTAGTTGAACACAATCCAATTAAAAATTAGAATCTCAACTTGAGATGTTAAAACTTGCCTTTGATTGACTGTTCACCATAGTATCAATGTTTGGAGGCATAAATGGGCCTGGCCCTTGGCGTTGAGAAGTACGAAACGCTATGTCTTGACTAACCAGCAAGTCCCACTCCTGCTTGACAACCAAGTGCACGTCAAGACATGACAAATAGGTTAAGTTTTGTGAAAGGGAAATTGTAAATTCCAAAAATTAGAAATTTCAACTTAAAACTGGCCTTTGATCGACCCATCACGATGTTGGCAGGGTCTAGTCGATTCACATTGTTATGACTAGCCTCCAAGTCCCACTCCTGCGTGGAGATCAGAGGCATTATTTACTTTGAAAAAGAAACTTGTGGTAAGACAATGATGACAAATGTATTTAGAATCAGAGAGCTAGTGAGATGCTTACAGAAAATGCATGTTTTTCACTCTTGAGATGCGTGGTGAAATCTTCAAAGCTTTGGGCAGCAAAATCGCAAACTGAGCAAAACCAGGGAGATTCACCCGTTTCACTGTGCTTGTAGTCCTGAAGAACAAGTCTTGTTGGCTCCTGTTTATTATCCTCCATATCCTCATCTGACATTAAGCTATCCCATAACCATTCTTTAGAAACATCTCTAAGAAAGCTTAGCCAGAGCCAGTCTGGAGCTGGAGCTCGTTGAGGATATGCTAGAAGAATTCTGTATCCCTGATTTTCTAGGTCGTAAAGTGTACGAGCCAACCCTTCCAGTTCCTCAGAACCGGTTATGAGCATTATAGTAGCCGGATCTGGATTCTCTTCGGTCCACTCATACAAATGCCATTGAACATCTGTTTCAGAAAACAAGGAAAGAATCGTTGAATCTAAACCCTAATAAAAAAAAAAATTCAATTACTTGTACTAAAAGCCATATATTTTAACTAACCGTGGGCATGTTTAAGAGCCATTCCAGTGGAAGAAAGCGTTCGCAGGACGTCGTCTCCACCAGGGATCTGGGTTAGGTTGCCAACGGCAGTGATGTAGAGAGGACCATAGCGGCAGCGCCATTGGCCTGACTTTTTCAACGCCGATTCTATTCTCGGACCGACCAGACGAGGATCATGTCCATCGGGAATCGGACATTTGCTAATGTTCCACAACACAAACGTTTTCTCCTCATCCCCCTTGTGCATCATTTCGTATTTGTTTATTATTCTTCGATCTCAAAAAAAAACAAATCAGGTTCAAAATGAGGAAAACAAAATCGCAGTTAAAACATTTGGAGAGATTGACACGGTTAAGTCAAAATCACCGATATTCGTGGTTGGTTTATATGGGCCGATACGTGTGGCCCGTATAATTACTTGTGGTTGGTTAAAATCGAAGAATATCCAGAAATAGGTTGGGCTTATAATTACTTTTACAATATCCCCAGTCAAATAAATGTGCACAACATTTATGGTTAACAAAAACTTTGGTTCATTTTGTTTTCGCCCATAAAAAAGTCTTTTGTGGTTGCATTTATCGAGCATGTTTTTCATCCACATGACTGATCCTATCACAAGGAATACAATCATGTCCCTAATTGACTTCGTCAACACAAAGTTAAACCCAAAATGATACACCAAACCATGTCGCTCAATTCAAAGGAAGAAAACCATAATGAATAGTTACGTAACAGTCACTGTTTTACTAGTTAAAGCCATTAGTAAGAAGAGTTGCGATTTGAAACTCTTTTTAGCTAAAACTATTTTTATGAAAAGTTTTCCATTGTAAAAATATCCGACCCGATGAGAATCGGATCTGAATCCGACCCGTCAGAAGATGTGCGTAAATTTCATCCATTTGCGTGTCTCCCTTCCAAAGGCTCAAAATTTAAATCTCTCTCTCTTTCTTCTGCAGCGTTTCTTCTTCTCCGTTTGTCCGTACGCGTTTTCTTACCGGTGACCTGAAACCCTCCGATTCTCGAACGAAGAGCTGCTTCTCTGATAATGGCGGCTTATAGAGCTGACGATGATTACGATTTCCTCTACAAGGTTGTATTAATTGGTGATTCCGGCGTCGGTAAATCCAATCTGCTTTCTCGATTCACGCGCAACGAGTTCAGCCTCGAGTCTAAATCCACCATCGGTGTCGAATTCGCCACCCGAAGCATTCATGTCGATGAAAAAATCGTAAAGGCTCAGATTTGGGACACCGCCGGTCAGGAGAGGTATTTTACATTTTACAATTTCCTTAAAAATGAATGATTCTATCGATGATGTTACCCTAATCGACATTTTTTTCGATGAATCTGAGGAAAGCAATTGATAGGAAAGGTTTGATCATGTGTAAAACTGTAGAAATGGGTGTGGAATCTCAAGAACTAAAGTATTGATTTTTTTTGTTGGAACTTAGATACCGAGCAATCACAAGCGCATACTATCGAGGAGCTGTAGGAGCTTTGCTTGTTTATGATGTTACTCGGCATGTGACATTTGAGAACGTTGAGAGATGGTTGAAAGAGCTTAGAGATCACACAGAGGCCAACATTGTGATCATGCTTGTTGGGAATAAGGCGGATCTACGTCACTTAAGAGCTGTTTCAACCGAAGATGCTAAAGCCTTTGCAGAGAGAGAGAACACATTCTTCATGGAGACATCTGCACTCGAAGCATTGAACGTCGAGAATGCTTTCACTGAAGTGCTTTCTCAAATATACCGTGTGGCAAGCAAGAAGGCGTTGGATATTGGTGATGATCACGCTACTCTTCCTAAAGGACAGAGTATTAATGTTGGGTCTAAGGATGATGTTTCTGAGGTTAAGAAGGTTGGTTGCTGCTCAAGTTGATCTTGATCAAGCCATTTTGTCTGGTAACGTTTGTTTCCTAGGTAAGAATATAGTTTGATTATCTATGGAAGATATGCAGATGATTTTTTCTTGTGTTTTCCTTTAGTTGCTACTTTTTCCTTCTTTTGGTGTAAGTTTCTCAGATCCTTATAATGTTTTAACTATTTTTACATAATCATTCATATTCGATAATCTTTGAACAAAAAGAGATGTTTAGATGAAGAAAGTTAACTCTAGGAGCAACCTAAATGTACAAAGAACCAAAAAAGCCTGTACAGTTTTTCTAGTCACTAAGCCAATCGTAGCTTTAGACTGTCACTTTTATGTGCACAAAAGTACAAATTTACAGAATTTGGGGCTGAAACATACCCTGACTCTGTTTCTCTCTTATAAAACCAATAGATAAAAAACGTCTTAAAAACCATCGGTGATAACCTTCTCTTAGGTTGAATCAGCTGCAACCTCTTCTCCTCTACTACTTAACCGTAGCTTCTTCTTCTTCTCCATGACCAGTGCCTCTGATTTACAGATTGGGCAAACGTTCTTGATAACCAACCACTTCTCCAAGCATTCTGCATGGTATTTGTGCATGCAATCCAGCGTTGCGATCTTATCTTGGTTCTTGTAGTTTTCCTGTCAATTCCCCATTACAAAAAAACAAAAATTTAAATACTAAGATGTGAGTGTGTGAATGTTTGCGTTAGCTTGGAGGATGCAGTCTCAAGATTTTACTGGCTTTACCTGGCATATCGTGCAAGAATCAGTTTCTTGATCGGTAGATGGACCTTCTTCCGGGTTGATTCTGGTCGATAACGAGGTTCTTCTTTTCAGAAGATCTTTAACATCTTCTTCTGACAAGCCAGTCTTCACAGTTCCAATCTGGTCGCTCAAAGCAAGAAGCTCCTGCACCACCCAGGTTTTGAATGTTATAAGATAAGACAAACCAATGCAAATTCATTAAATACTGACATGGGGAAGAGTAAAGAAGAATTTTGGTCTAAGGACGAACCTCATATGACATATCCTCTATATCTAAGCGCATGTCTTGATGATGATCGACATAATTAACAGCATCGTAGAAGTCTCCTACCTCCCACAGTGCAACTTCCTACACATATCAACAGAAAGAGTAAAAAAGCCATTATTGGAAAGTGAACACTCTTTTGAACAAACTGACACTATAAGATGAAAATTGTGCTCAGTACATTCGCGGGCATTGCTCTAAGGTGATTCAATTCACGGTGTCTTAAAATTGCTGCAGGTACAAAATCTTCTCCGGGATATTGGTTTACCCTGAACCCGGTTGATTGATTCTGTCCCACATGACTGTATGAAGCAGGATGCAGAGTCTCAGCGTATGAGGCTGAAGGCATGTGAGGGTATACAATGGGAGGAGGAAGTACTGGGTGATGGCTAATATAGTGGTTCCTTTGGTATACAGATGGTGTGGGGTTTCTGCTACTAGATGTTTCATGGTATCTTGGGAAGCAGACATTACCAGAGTCTATAGATCCAGTAGCAACGTTACCTAAGAGATCATTCAAGAAGAAGAATAAAATTATCAAGAACTTGCCAACAGACCAATCGTAATGCTGAGAATAAGGATAGTACCAGGCATATAAGGTACAGCGGGTGCTTGAGACCAAAGCGAAGATGATCCATCAGATCTGTTGCCATTACAGTGTTGGTCATACCAGATTGAGCCAGGAGGTGGAAAAGGATGAGCTGCATAGTTTCCTTGAGCTGGATAGTTTCCAAGACTGAAGTTGTTATGACCATGAGAGAGAACTGGATCCATAGTAGCTGCTCCTGCTCTGTTCCTCACACTTCTCTGATCTTGTGGTTGTGGATAAGTACCAAACTGTGGGAATGAGATAGGTGCTGTCTCCGGTGTATTCAATTGAGGGAAAGGACACGGAGCAACTGGATACTGATAATTTCCAGGCATTACTTCAGAACTCTTTCTTTTGTATCCGTGATCCATAAAATGGGCATTTCTTTCCTGTTCAGTGGACGTAACTCCAACAACTGCACCATGACTTCCATGAGACAACAGATAACTCGGTGGAGCTTCATGATTCACATAAGGGACATAGAAATTTGGTGCGGTTGACATGCCAGAACCAAGATTTGAAGCACGTTGATGATGGTACTGTGGAGGCCCGTAGAACATTGAGTTGTTGTCATAAGGTTCTTGCAGAGAATGCGCTTCTAAATGAGGAACAGTGTTCACGGGTGGGAAATCTGGATACAGATAGTTAGTTCCGATGCAAGGTTCAGGATAGGGAACAAAGCTTTGAGAATCCTGCTCCATGTCTAAACCAGTCATCATATTTCTTTGTCTCATATTGATTGTTATCGAAAACCCCTGGTAGTTGAAAATACATAGATCAGCAACAATACAGCAAAAGAACAATTAAAATTCACCCACAAAGACAGCAAAAAATTCGATGCTAGTTACATCGCAAGCTGATTCTAGCTAGTGCTTTTCAATAAACATACCTACAATATCAAACTTCTGATATCTAGTAATGGAATCGAAACATACAACAAGTAAATATTCTCCCCTCGTATCCCGAGAATGGGACGCACTAAGTCTCAAAACATCCCCGAATATTTTCGTCATCATCGCAAGTAATAAAGCCACAAAAAAACAAACAGTATCCTCAGACAGCACACTGAACATTCAAGCTTCACGGATACATTATAGAGTATGAAACTTTAGCTGCAGAGATCAAACCCTAAACTTACACAAAGTAAAATCCTTTCCAAACCAATGATTTTCACAGAAACTAAAAAGTGGCTTTGGCAAAACTCACCATTCTTGTGGTAAAAAATAAAACTAAATTATAATTTAATGATGAAACAAGCCACCTTTTCAGACATGTCTTACAAAAATCAGATCAAACCCAATTCACAAAACATAAAAAACCAGAAAATTTTAGAAAAGAAGTAGAGAAGATTTATTATTAAGTTCCTGACCTTGCTAGCATCAAGATTGAAGAAACAAAGTTTCGAAATTTCAGCAAAAAGCCACCACCTCGTATATAATCGGAAGCTCCCCTGAAGCACAAACAGAGGTTAGAAAATAAACAACCTAGACGATCAAAAGAGATTAAGCCTAAATTCCGAATAACTAATAACAATGCAATTCTTCAGCAGCTCTCGTATTAAAAAAACAATTCCAAACGATAATCACCACAACAAACCCACCAAAACAACGACAAATACAAAACTCAGAATCAAAAAGCTCTAGAATCCGATAATCGTGATGATCATAAGAGATATAAGTACCTGAAAAATCGAGAATTAATCAGGGAGAGAGATCCAAGGGCGATAGAGAGAGATATGAAGACGTCGGTTTTCTGGTTTCTAATTTATTTTCCTCACGGTGACGGAAGGTTTTTATTATTTTCATCTTCTTCCAAGTTTTTATTTAATTTATTTATTCCCTTATGCTTATCTTTCCTTTTTTTATTAATTATTTTGTTGCCTTTTTTTCATTGGTTCAAATATTTTTTTTTATTCTAATTAAAAGAATGAAGTAATCAATATCCCTAATTACAAGAACGACGTCGTAAACGATCGAAAATCAAAATAATTAACTCATCAATCTTTAGGATTTCCCCATCTAATCACCACTTTTAATAACATGATCGTTTCTAAAGCGTGTTATTAGATTTAACAACAAGAGAAGCAAGCATGTCACTGGCAGCCATTAATGAAGGTATGCTTCTACTCTAACGAACAATGTTTTTAAAACAAATTGTATACCTCTGAAATTTTCACTAACATAGGACGATTAAAAAGAATTAGGCAAAACTAGAACTAAACAATTGATCAATGCGACAGAACACAATGGAATTATCCCATGAGGCAAGTAACATATGATGCGAATATTTTTAGGAAGCTGCTTACCATGTGCTTTTTTTTTGTTGAACCACCATGTCACCTAATTATGCCCAATTAATCATTTCAGTCTCTGTTTTATGTTAAGAAAGAACATTATAAAAATAAACCATATCTTATCTTAGCTTTTATAAGCTATGAAACAATAATTTAATACATGTATATTTTATCATACCAAAAATCTAATCAAAGCAAAAATCCTAACGTGGTGAAAATCGTATTACTATTGCTGCAGGAAACGGCAGCGTTTTATAAGGTCTTAATTCTTAAACCTTACTCTTGCTTGACTCTTGAGCCGCTTCAAGGCCTCTTTCTCAAAAAAATTCCGAACGACCGCTGAACTAAAAATATGAGTTCTGATCTGAAGAGAAAGCAGCAGAAGAAGATAAATCCTAAACCTGTTCAATTAAATCCTAATTGGTCACTCCTCCAACAAGTTAGTCTCTATGTCTCTCTTCTCTTAGCTTTCTCATCTTTTTTTTTCCCAGACTTTTGTTCAGCCATTGATTAATGTTTTGGTTCTCGTTATTTGTCCTTGCAGAAGCTGAAATCTGATTCTCATGGCAACACTCGAAAATCTTCAAACCCAGAAAATCCCAGCTCCATATTAGGTAGCATTCAACCTAAAAATTTGAACTTGAAGTTTGGGTTTAGGGTTTATGGACTGGTTTGGTTTATCAGTTGTTCTAACTTACGCAGCTAACTTGCAGGGAAGAGGAAGGAGAGACCCGATTCGGAGCTGGATGTTCCTAAGATTGATCCTTTAACTCCGGTTAACGACGATTCCAGGTTGGTCATGTTTGCTATTTGGCTTCGTGGTGCTTTTAATTGCTACATGATACCTAATCACTAGCTGAGATATACACAATGTCATGAGCTTTACATTGTTAGTGTCCTCCTGCTCTGGGAAATTAGAGGTTTTGTTGAATTGTAGGTTTCTTTAGGTTCTCAGATTATCTTGTACAGAACTTTTGGTTATAAGCTACTATCTTGCTCTTCTTTTCATTTTTGTGAATGTTGACCGTTGTGGAATTGACTTGGGTAGCTTAAATAGTAAAAGAATGCTGAGAAAGTGTCGAAGCAAAAACAAAGGATCTTGCTAATAGATGTTTCTTTCTTTTAGCAATCTTGTATATCAATCAAATCTCACCAACCTGTGGGTAGTTTGACAGATGAAGTGGCTATGGACTGTGAAATGGTTGGTGTCAGTCAAGGAACCAAAAGTGCCCTTGGACGAGTTACCTTGGTACACATTGCTTTTCCAACTTTTTTTTTTTTTTTTTTTTTTTTTGAAGTATCATTATGCAAAATTTTCAGTTTGTTTCATTTCCGAACTCCTGAGTAAATAGTTGATGTTATTTCATAATGGATTTCTCTTAATCCATATTCTTGAAGTGTATGTCTGTCTCTTCTTCTACGTGAAGGTCACTGATTATTTCACCATGTTATTGACAGGTAAATAAATGGGGAAATGTTCTATATGATGAGTTTGTCCGTCCAGTGGAACGTGTTGTTGACTTTCGTACTCATATAAGCGGGATTCGACCTCGAGATTTGAGAAAGGGTTGGTTTTACTTTCAACATTTCGTACCTTTTTTTCTTGAATCTGTCAACATTCTTGACCTTTGTTCCACTGGAACTAAGGCTTTTGAGGGTGCAAATGAATTAGATCATCTACTAAAACAGTTTGGAACTTCGATCTTAATTTAGCTTTTTTTTAACCTCAGCCAAAGATTTCCGAGTTGCTCAAACCAAAGTAGCAGAGTTGATAAAGGGAAAGATTCTCGTGGGACACGCCTTGCACAACGATCTCAAGGTCTGTAGGTTTCACAAATCTAGAATCTGGTTACAATACCAATACAGAGTTTTAACAGAAATAAACTTTGTTAACAGGCTTTGCTGCTAACTCACCCGAAAAAAGACATAAGGGACACAGCAGAGTATCAGCCCTTTCTCAAGTACCCACACTTCAATCCCTCTCTTTTCTCTAACTGATACTTGTCACGCTTTCGCTTTCTCGAAGTTCAAACCTTTGAATCGAGTCCTAATGAATGAGTAATCTCTCAAACAGGGACAAAACCAGAAAGTCTCTGAAACATCTCGCAGCTGAAATTCTAGGGGCTGACATTCAAAATGGAGAGCACTGCCCTGTAAGTGTGTACATCTGAATATAAAACAAACATCTTTATGTTTTTGATCTGCAAATCTGAACTCTTCTTTAACGGCAGATTGATGATGCACGAGCTGCTATGATGCTTTATCAGAAGAACAGGAAAGAGTGGGAGAAAAATGTGAAAGACCAGACACGGATGTGGCTGAAACAAAAGAAGCGTAAGCCTAAGAAGAAGGTAAAAGAAGGGAAGGCTTCGACCAATCACAATCCAGTTGTTTGAATCAATCAGCGAGAGCAAATCTGACTAAACAGAAACCAAGAATCGCTGAAAAGTTTTGGTCGTTTTCCTTTCTTTTTGATTGTTGTCAGCATCAGGTGCTGCAACCAAATGTACTATCTTGTTGTGTACAATCACAATGTTATACCAGATTAGATCATGTATTATTGTTAAACAGAAAAAAAAAATACATTTTTGGAGATTCTGAAATTAAGCAAATTGTTCTTCTCACTCATCCCTTTATGTTCTTAGTTCAGTTTTGTCCAATTCCGGTTGAACATTGTAGAAACCAAAACCTCTACCTTCACAGAACATGTACTCTACTTGAGAAGTTGGGATCAAATGGAAGAATAATGGTATTGGTTTGGTATATGCAATTGAAGAACTACGGTTTTCGGTTCTGTTATGCATAATTACTGTTTGGTTATGCTCGGCTCTTGATCCTCTGATTACAAGCTCAATTTTCGGAATTCACAGAGTGAACTGATAAAATTCCGGCTGTTTTTACCAAGTTTGTGATCAAATCGGTTCGGTTTGGTATAAACCGGTGAAATAAATAAAATCAACAGGTTGCATGTACAGTCAAGTAAACAAACCCGCTCTGCGGACGCAAATGCTGCCACGTCTTTAATTTCCGTTTCTGTGTAAACAAGAAAACCTAAAAAACAGAAGCGAGCAGATTCTCGCATCAACGAAGAAGAAAGAAGAAGACGAGTAAATTGGTTTCATAGACGACCGACGGAGAAATGCGAGTGATGAGATCATTGCGCGGTAATTCCGGTGCAGGATTGATTTCCCGGCCGGCGAGGTTAAGTTCTCTTCGGAGCGTTTTTACCGGCTGCCGTGCTGTGATGTTGCCCCGCTTTGGCGGTCCGGAGGTTTTTGAGCTCCGGGAGAATGTTCCGGTGCCGAATCTAAATCCAAATGAGGTTCTTGTCCGAGCGAAAGCTGTCTCCGTCAATCCTCTTGATTGCAGAGTGAGTGTTATCTGCTTGATCCGTTTTGATTTCATTTGTTTAGTGGCATTATATATTATCGGAGATTGCCTAATTAGGAATTAGGATTGGCGTGATCGGTTAGCTTGGATCTCTTGCATATGTTCTAGGAGTTTATAATCGTATGAAAACTCTTGTCTTCAATACTGACAATAAGAGTAGTGAGATTGATATTTATGATATGATGAGAAATGTTATTTGATTTCAGATACGAGCTGGATATGGACGTTCTGTATTCCAACCGCATCTACCTATTATAGTTGGACGTGATGTCAGTGGTGAGGTTGCGGCAATTGGGACTTCAGTAAAGTCACTTAAAGTTGGACAAGAAGTTTTTGGTGCGTTGCATCCTACAGCGTTGAGAGGTACTTATACTGACTATGGAATTCTTTCGGAAGACGAACTCACGGAAAAGCCATCATCAGTTTCTCATGTGGTAAGTAGGAAGATCTATATACCCTTTAACCTCTCTACCTTTTTTTTTAATTGTTTTCGACTTGATTGTTTTTCAGTTTAAGTGTTTTCAGCTATTCTTTTGTCTGTCTCTTGTAGGAGGCAAGTGCCATTCCTTTTGCAGCTTTGACTGCTTGGCGTGCTTTGAAGAGTAATGCTCGGATAACTGAAGGGTATGATTTTGAGAAACTATTATTGTCTGCATGTGGCAAGAAGTTGATGCTAATTCACCTTTCAACATTCACACAAATGCTTTTCGTGTTATTTGCCTACTAGTATGGTCTCAACACCGTGTTCTTAAAACCTTTTTATTTGCAGACAAAGGCTGTTAGTCTTTGGAGGAGGAGGAGCAGTAGGTTTTTCTGCAATCCAGCTTGCGGTAGCATCTGGGTGTCATGTGACAGCCTCTTGTGTGGGACAGACCAAAGATAGAATACTAGCAGCTGGTGCAGAGCAAGCTGTTGACTACACAACCGAGGTAGTGACACAAGTTGTTTATATATCTACTCGTCCAAAGTAGAGCCATAATGATCTTGTTCTGACTCCTGAACCTGGATCTGTTTCATGTACAGGACATTGAGTTGGCGGTAAAAGGAAAATTTGATGCTGTGTTGGACACTATTGGTGGGCCTGAAACAGAGAGAATAGGCATTAACTTCTTAAGGAAGGGTGGAAACTATATGACTCTCCAGGTATATAACATTTCTTGTGTTTCTGCTTTACAAGCTGCAGTGACCTTGGTTGCTTAGGTCTTGAATTTTGTTTTAACAAAAGTGATTTTTTTTTCCTCTTTTGCATTTATCCATTAAAGGGTGAGGCTGCATCGTTGACTGATAAATACGGTTTTGTGGTTGGGCTTCCCCTTGCAACATCACTCTTGATGAAGAAAAAGATACAATATCAGTATTCTCATGGAATAGGTATATGATATATTCTGCATTACTCTCTCTTCGATTTTAAAGTAACTATTCTGATAATAAGACCTGTCTCAGTGAGCTTTTGAGTGGGATAGAAAATCTTAAATGTGATAAAATCTGACTGTGATGAACTTATAATAAAACAGACTATTGGTGGACGTATATGAGGGCTGATCCAGAAGGTCTAGCCGAGATTCAGCGGTTAGTTGGAGCCGGAAAGCTAAAGATACCTGTCGAAAAAACATTTTCAATAACCGATGTTGTTGCAGCTCATGAAGCCAAGGAGAAGAAGCAGATTCCGGGTAAGGTGGTTCTAGAGTTCTGAACTATATATACATAGTAGAAATAATAACACCTGCATAGTTCTCTAGCAGTTGTTCTTTCTAGAATTTACACGCAGAGAAACAAATGTTTCGCGTCTGGAGTTTTCTGTAAATGAGATCTATCAGGCTTAGATTCAGATCAAGAACTTGAAGTTTCTGTATAGACTTTCCAAAGGGTTCGTTTTTATTTGGATTTTGTCTGTGTTGCAAACTACTAAGCCAAGTAATGGAAATGGTTTAGAAATATCTTTTTTGTTGTTGTCATGAGTCATATATTACTTGGAATCTTATAAGATTGATATATTCGTCAACGACATACAAATTTAAATACTCACAATCACAATAAACAGTAATATCACATCTTTGATACTCCTGTGGATTAAAATTGAAACTATTACTCGCTAATCGCTATAGTTTGTAATTGTATAGTTAAACCCCAGATCTAACGTGATAAAACTATAAAGCATGAGAGAACGAAGATGTAACCTCAATTAATTAAGACATACTTATAATTGCTAAATGTGTGACGCCAAACAAAAGTTGATCACATGGTCGACAAATCCCACAAAATCAAAATCAACCTCATAGAAATACTTAGCATTCTCTGTTTCTTGCAAGTAATAATTAATTAATTAAAAAAGGTCTGGAAGTGTCATTAAAAGCATAACATGCAGTTTAATTAAGTTATTAAATGTGTGTTTTGTCTGGTTCTCGTCCTTTAATGGTCTAGTCAAACTCATCTCTCCTCTGCCAGATAAGCAAACAACTAAATCCTTTTTACGCGCCACTCTGCGCGAGTCATTCAAAATTTCACAGCCTTCTCAGTTCTCACCCAGTAGTAACCTCAGTGGGACAAGAACCTTCTCTTTCTTTCCAAGTCTTCAAAACCTTTTTTCTAGTAAATGTTAGTGCCAAGTCTTCGAAATCGAGACCTTCAGTTCTTGGGTTCTTTAATTTCTTCTAAATATCTAGCAAGATCATACTATATCTACATACTCCCTCCGTTTCAGTTTAGTTGTCGTTTTAGGATTAAAATTTTGTTTCATAATAGTTGTCGTTTTAGGTTTTCAATGCAAATGTTTGGTGAAAATTCATGTTTTGTCATTAATGTTTTAATGTTTTGACCAATGAAAAAATTATAAAATATATTAATAAAAGGTAAAACAAAAAATTTAATGATTTTCTTAATTTGTGTGCGAAAACCTTAAACGACAACTAAAACGAAACGGAGGGAGTATTATTTTCGGGGGACCAATGAGCACATGTTTATATACTCAATCATATTAATTGTCAGTAAATTCACGTAGACACCTTCCATCTCTGTATTCAATTTGGCATTTATTATGGATAATTGTTTTTGTATACAACAAATGTTCTTGCTGTTGAAAACGGGATTGTTACATATAAGTCATAGTAACAAATATTTGAACATAAGCCATTTAGGATTTGTTTTCTATAATATGATTTCTACATATCTTACAAAATCAATTAATTTTTCTTGAAGTTCTCTTTGTAACAAACAAAATTAAAATAGCAGAAGAAAAGTATGCACTTAGTATTTACTACATATGGTTTTTCTAGCATAAAAAAGAAATTATTAGTCTTAGTTGAAAAATGAAAAAAAAGTAGGAGAGTTATTAAAAGCATGTTAATGCAAATATGAGGGTGGTCCTTTAAGTCTTTTAATGGTCTGGTCAAACTCCTTTCCACCACGACTGCCACATCACCCAACCCATCTTCTTCCATTTTCTGTTTATCATGACCGTTGCTTGGCGGTTCCGTGAGAAGCTCACGCGCGTGATTTTTACCCGCGTGATTTTTCAAGCCATTATCTCTTTCTGTGATTTTACCCACAATTATGTTCCTGCATCTGTTTATACGCAAATGGATAATGCGTACTTTTTATTATCATGAGGTTTTGGATTAGAGATTTTTAATATTTATATGTTCCTGCATCTTTTTATACCCAAATGGATAATGCTGAAACTCAAATTTAAAATCTGGTAATAAATTGAAAACATATTTATCTAGATGAATTCACATATCTTCAAAGAGTCAAACTATAATTTCGAAAATCTCTTAAAAACAAAATGGTTGTTTTGTATCTAGCTATTTGATTAAATGCAAGACACGCGTTTAGATTAGTATGGAAACATATTTCTACGAGTTTATCTATCTGTTTATTTATATTTCATGGCTTCTTAATTGAATTATTTAAGAGTATATTAGAAATAATGTCTCTAATGATTTGGCCACACTCACATTCGGAACAACATAAATGATAAAGAAGCGAATGGGTCCGACTCCTTAAGTGCTACAAAAAGCGACACGACGTCCCTCAGTTTCATGCATCCATCCACAAGAAAATGTAAAGTGACAATTTCACGAGAAGAAAACTCAAAACTCAAAAAGAAGATTAAAATTAATAACTAAAATAAGAAAAAACAACGGCCATGTTGAATCATTACCCTATCTCTCGGTACTCCGATCACGTGCCAACTTTGGGTTCTCTATAATGCTTTTATTATTATTCTTATATAATAAAGTTTTTTTTTGTTCTTTAATTTATTATCAATACTTTCTCTGTGTTATTTGTCTTCGACCGTATTTAGTCCAAACCATGTGACAATTTCCGGCCTCTTTATCATTATGAAAAAGAAAAGAAAAAAAAGCTATGGCCCCCTTAATTAGATATTTAAAAAAAAAAATTGAATAAGAAAAATTGTTCTAGGTGGTTTGGCTATACTGAGAATTTGAAATCCCAAATGTTTGGTCTTATGAGTAAATCTCATCCATTTAATCTAAAATGATAATAAGTTCGAACCTAAACACAACAAGAAGGATTTTAAAGTAATAGATCTGAACACAGTCTTAACAAATTCATTAGTTATTTTGTCACGACATGTATATGTTGATAACAAAAGGATAGGTTACAATTTGGCTTCAAATTGCGGTTGTGGCTTACTGTTTTTAATATTCACAATTTTTCAATATTGTCTAAAATCATCCACTTGTCATAAATTACCATCCAATATCCTTCCAATCCCTACATGCATATATGTCCAATAAAATCTAGCTAGAGTACGAGAAAAATATCCAAAAGTTTTGAATTACACAAAAAGTCTTATCTTTCCAAAGGAAAATAAAAGTTGTATTATTTATTTATTTCCACCAAAAAGAAGAGACTACGAAAACAATACATGCAAAATACACAAGAGACATGCGTGTCTGAGTGTTTGTGTTTTTGGGAAAGCCAATAATACCTTTTCCCTTTAGTGTGCACATGTGTGTATCCATCCTTCCACAGAAGCGTACGAACCCTTTTTATAACTCATTTCACTCTCATGGGCCACACAAACATTTCACCATCTCATAAATTACCAATTCACCCTTCCTCCAAATCATTCACACAACTAAGCCATTACCTCAAAAACACAACAAACTGAATTTAGATTAGTCAAAGATGATTACATAGATTTAGGAAGAAGGAATCTCTTACCCTAACCAGATCCAGGGGTATTTTAGTAAATTATCATAGGGACCCCTCTAAGTCTCTCGATTCCGTTACTCTCAATATCTCCAATGGCGATGGTTACTACTACACTCTTCTTCTTCATTTTCTTCTCACTGTAAAAAAAAAAAAACAATGGCGGAAACTGAGAGACCCCACCGTTCTTCAAGTATTAACAGTAGCAGCAACAATGGTTCTTCTACCGATCTATTCATTTGTTTCACATCTCGTTTCTCTTCTTCTTCCTCTATGCGTCTCTCTTCCAAATCCATCCATAGTCCAGCTCGTTCCGCTTGTCTCACTACTTCTCTTAGCCGTCGTCTCCGTACTAGCGGTAGCTTGAAGAACGCTTCAGCTGGCGTTTTGAACTCTCCGATGTTTGGTGCTAACGGAGGACGGAAGAGATCTGGATCTGGTTACGAGAATAGTAACAACAATAATAATAACATAGAGCCGTCGTCTCCGAAGGTGACGTGTATTGGTCAAGTTAGAGTGAAGACTAGGAAGCATGTGAAGAAGAAGATGAGAGCTAGATCTAGAAGGAAAGGAGGTGAGTCGAGTTTTAGGAGATCCGTTGATCAAAACGACGGTGGTGGTGGTGGTGGATGTCGTTTTGATGCGAGTGAGAATCGTTGGGTTCATCTTCCGGTGACTATCTGTGAGTCGTTGAGATCGTTTGGGTCTGAGCTCAACTGCTTTTTCCCTTGTAGATCTTCGTGTACGGAGAATAGTCATGGAGATGGGAGGCGAGTTGAGAGTAACAACGACGGTTGCGGCGGAGGAGGAGGAAGTTCGTGTGGTGCGGTGTTTACGAGGTGGTTTGTGGCGGTGGAGGAGACGTCGGGTGGGAAGAGAAGAGAGATTGAGCTTGTAGTTGGTGGAGAAGACGAAGTGGAGGAGGATAGGCGGAGGAGTCGTCGGAGACATGTTTTCGAGGGGCTTGATTTGAGTGAGATTGAGATGAAGACGGAGAAGAAAGAGAGAGGAGGAGAAGAAGTTGGACGGATGAGTATTTGTTCTCCGCCGAAGAATGCTTTGTTGTTGATGCGGTGTAGATCTGATCCGGTTAAGGTGGCGGCGTTAGCTAACCGGGTTCGTGAAAGACAGTTGTCTTTAAACAACGGCGTATACGGAGGAGGAACAGAGGAGGAAGATGATGAGAGACGAAGAAGGTTTGAGCTGGAAATTGAAGATAAGAAACGGATCGACTTGTGTGAGAAATGGATCTCCGGCGAAACTAATGTGGAGACAGAAGAAGTTTCAGTTACAGTTGCCGAGGCAGAAGTAGAAGTTCCTTTGCCTTCAAATCCAGCTACAGAGGAAGAAGCAAGAGTCAAAGCTGTGGAAGATTCGATTGTTGAAGAAGAAGAAGAAGAAGCTTCGAAAATTCTGGATTCGTTTGAGGAAGAAATTGAAGCTACGATCATGAAAAACATTGAAGACGAAATCAGAAACGCTATAGAAGAAGATGAGAAACTGGCTGAGATGGAAGAATTAGCGGCGGTGGCTGAGACGGAGGAGGAAGAAGAAAGCAAAGAGGTTGATGTTGCTACCTGTATAACTCAAAATGAGGAAAGATCCGAACAAGGAAACAGAGAACCCGACCCGAGTCCGGAAGTGGTGATGAGAAGAAGTCTACAAGAGGAAACAACGGAGAAAGAGAAGACGACGGCGACGCCGTATAAGGTGTTACCGGATTGTTTGCTGCTAATGATGTGTGAACCAAAGCTCTCAATGGAAGTCTCTAAGGAGACTTGGGTCTGCAGTACAGATTTCGTTCGATGTTTACCAGGAAGACCTCCGGCGAAGAAGATACCTCCAGAAGCTACCGGAGATAATCATCATCATCATCAACCCAAGAAGCGGATCGTCACGGCCGTTGATTCCAACGCATCTTCTCGCCGGCGTTCAATCGATAAACCACCCTTACACCTTCAGCCACCACGGTCATCGTGTTCATACCCAGCAGCTCCACCAATAATAATGGCAGCTGCGGCGGTTGGGGAGCAGAAGGTAGCCGGAGCTAATAAGGCGTACGAGCCACCAGTGCTGCCACGTTGCAAATCGGAGCCGAGAAAGTCAGCGTCGAAGCTAGCGCCGGAAGCTTGTTTCTGGAAAAATAGGAAGCTGGAGCCACACCCTCCGGCAACCGTCGGAGTCGGCGGCGCCGGAGTAGGGTTCTAGAAGAAGGGGACTTGAGTGGGAATAAAGAAAACTATTTGGGTGTAACAGTAATTTCAGTATACTATTTGTCCTTGTTTGTAAATTTGTTTTGTTAGTCATAATTCATTTTCTTTCACTGTGCCAATGTTTTTTCATGAAAATCTGTATCCGTTTTTTTTGTCCGTTAGTCTAATGTCTCACTCTCTGGTCGATGAAGTCCCATCGAAACTAACAACAACTAACGCTTCCCAACAAACGGATAGATAGGTGTACAATAAATTGAAAAGAAGAAAACAATTTTATACATAGTTGGCTACATGAATATGATATTATTAATACATGTTTCATAGTACAAATACAAAGACCGGACTAATCAATCACCTCAACTTTGATCCTCATTGCTTTTATTTACTTCACTGTTGTCACCTGATGAGTCTCCAGGTTGTGTTGTGGCCTTCATGTCTTCATCAGAATCTTCATTGAAGGCTAATTGACCAGAGTAAAGGAGAAGTCCAATCGCGTTGAGACCGAAAACAAATGTTGCTAGATAGCATATACCGTTGATGATAGTCCTGCGGATCAAAACGTAGAGTTTGGTCTTAAGAAGTTGCGAGAATGGTTTGAGATGAGTACAGAGAAAGTGGTAAAGCTTAAATGTACCTTACGGTGACTGTGATTTGCCTAACCTGCAATAGATAGAAGACACAGATGAAGCTTTTAGAGAAGCTTAAGGTTTTGACAATAATGAATGTATAGGTAGCTAAGTTGTACATCGAATTCAGAAACCATGGTTTGGTCAGACTCATTCTTGTACACAGGCAATGATCAAAATGATAAGTGAAAGAAGGAAAGAACTGAGAATCTTTAGAGAGATTCGCGTTTCGATAATGAACTTAAGCTAGTTGCACAGTGAATTCAGAAATCATGGACATTTGCATAATGAATATTTATATAGCTATCTCTTAATGATGGGCATTTACAGTTATTGAGGCTTGGATGATACTTGGGACAGAAGGTACTGATACTTTGACAAAGCAAATTAGACAGAAACAGCAACTTTGACACAATCAAAAAGAGAGAGAAGAGACGAACCGAGAAGTTATCAGAGATAGTCTGACGATTGAGTCCTGATTCAACTGTAACAGTGAATTTGTAAAGAATGAGAGCAATGACTCCTGCAGCTATCGCACCAAGAAACGCCTGAGCCGCCGATGGAGTTGAATTACCACCTTCTATCGGAGTTGAACTTAACGCTTTCAGATTATCCATTGCCTCTTCTTTCAACGATTTCTTTGCTCCAGTAGATCTAAATCTCTACAATTTCCACACCAAATCAATCATAATCCTTGAATCCTTCCCAATTTTCAAACACAATTCAAGTGGAAACTTGATCAAATCCATTGTCTAATTCGATTTTAGACCAAATTCGGTGGTTCTTTGTTCCTTAAGAATGTCTAGGGTTTTAGCAACGAAATAGAGAAAAATTACCAGCTCTTTGGCGCGTTTAGCGCGCCGTCGAACCGAGCGGATGAGGAAGACAGTGATGGCACCGGTTAGAAGCACACTGGTGGCTAACTGGAGAGGAGTAGGGTCATCGGAAGTGGCGAAAATTGAGTTGGTAGACGAAAACGGAGATGTGGACGACGGAGGAAGCTCAATTGGACCATCTTCTTCCACCTCCGCCACATCGGTGATTTCTTTAACGACGGATACCCGGATTCTATCGGGTCGGATCCTGGTAATGGAAGAGAGCGAATGGATTGGAGAGATAAGACGCGTCGGACGGAGACGGTGAGGGAGAGTGAAGAGACATTGGTGGCTCTGCAACACTAACATTTTCTTAGCCGTCGAAAGATTTTTATCTCACCATTAATGTCTTCTTCAAATATCCTCACTCTAAGCCTCTTTATCGTGTAGAGGGTTTCTCTCGGTAAACACTCTCGGTGAATCAGAAGGTCCCAAACTAAACTACTAAATACCAATTTTTTGTGTAGTTTCACTTGGTTGTTTAATCCATTTCTCGTGCACTCTTCTTCATGTAAAATATTATTTCAATTTGATTGCGCCGTCAAATCACAAAACCCATTGTTATGTTTTGTTTTTCTCCTTATTGTAGGAGAAATGATAAGATGAATTTTTTTGAACAAAAAGGGAACGAAAGAATATGAAATGAGTGTTGTTTATATGTAGAAGTAGAAGCAATTTGTTTGTTAATGAAAGCGAATGATATCAGCATTCTTGTCGAACATTACTTGCGACAGTTCGAGCCCAGAACTTTATTTGAGCTTTCATGTCTTTTCTCGAATCCTTAGGAACCCATACCGGAATCGGCTGTCCCACCACCGCTGTAGACCGTGTTTTCGCGGTAGCGCGTGGGACACTCCTCTGTTTTTCTTCCTCTTCTTGCTTCTTCTCTAATTCGATGTCCAAATCCTTTAACATTTGAATATCTTTCGTCTCGATGCTGCTTAACGTTTTACGCAGCGTTTTGCGATGTGGGCTTCTTTGTGATTTGACGACTAATTCTTGAATAGCGTCTTCCGATCTCGAGTTTTTCGGAGGTCTATGCCTTGGAATGCTTGAAATCTACACAAAGTTTAAAAAACTTTCTTGTCAAATTCAGAGTCTCAACAACAGCAATGATCCAATCAAATCAACGACTAATGTAAACAAAGAGGTCACCTTTGGAGTGTTATGTTTCGTTGGAGTAAATCCAGAAGGAGAAGAAGAAGAGCTAGCGATGGCTTCACGGATCAAGAATCCCATTCTTGAATCATCTATCTCTTGATCTTGAAACTCATTTACATCGCCTTCTCTTCCTATGTAACTCGGCAATGTCTGAGTTCTCTGCAAACCCCCTCCCATCGAGCTATTATTGTTACTACTACTACTACTAGTACTACTTGTTTTGTTCTTCCTCGAACCTTCTTTAATTCCCTTTTCTCGAACCACAGGTTCCTTCTTTTGCAAGTAAGTTCTTCGTTCTTGAACCCTAATCTTCTCAGAGAACTGCCTTCTCATCATCTTATTTATCTTCTCAGGCTCGCCTTCACCTTTTTTTTTCTCTATACACGGCGGTGGAACAGAGTCTCCCCCAGTGGAAGCTTCTAGAAGCTTAATCTCCGAATCCGAATCTCCAATTTTCGGGATTTCGGGTTTGGGACAAGTGGATGAAGAAGAAGAGGAAGATGAAGGAGAAAAAGGGTAAGGATCTGAGTGACAGTACCTCAAGATCCTTGATCTTCTATCAAGTAAATTATCAAAGAACCAGAAATCTTCGAGAAGATCATCAATGGCTTCGAATTGTTCCAATTCTTGATGATCATTCAAAGTAGAATCCATTTTTTAATTCAGACAAGAGATAACAAAAAGAGATAAGTTTGTGTTCTTGTTTCTTCTTCTTCTTCTTTTGTTCGGTTTGTATTTGAAGCATAGATTCTGGAGACTTATTTAGGAGGTGCCCATGTGGGCAACCATTCAGCACTTGTTTTTTTTTTAATATTATTTTTTATGTTTTATTGTGGAGTCAATGTTTTTTGCTTTGGTCCATAAATAAAAGAAGAAAATTTGAGTGAAAACAAAAAAGGAAATAAATTGAGACTTACTCCGAATTTGTAAGATTCTTTCATTTTCAATCAATCTGAATTTTGAAGTCAATATATATATATTAACTTCTAGGGAAAATATTGACTCCAATTAGTTTTAAATCTCAGTGATAAAAATCATAGTTTTGTATATTTAGGATATTGCATAAACAGATAAACTTAGTTGGAAATTTTGATAAACCAAAATTAGTTTTGGAAAAGAAAAACCAATAATTAAGTGGATAATTAAACTAAAATTATATAAGACCATCCACAGTGGTGTAAGTGTGAGGGAGGGGTGTAAGATTTTTTTTATTATTATAATTTAAAGTGAGAGAGAAAAGAGAGAGAGAAAGAAAGAGAGAGAGAGATAGAGTGTCTTACACCCGAGTGTAAACTTACACCCGGGTGTGAAGAGAGAGACAACTTTTGCATTATTTCTGTATTTTAAAATAGATACACCCCACGCAAGGATACACCACTGCGGATGCTCTAACAAATCAAAAGGATTTCTGGCAACAACTAAGAAAAATAAGGTTTTTCAACAAAAGTTATCATTGCTAATAAGAAACGGCATAAGACCATCTGCATTGGGGGATCACCCCCCCTGATCTAAGCATTATTTAAATCCAAAAAAATGGGTTAATGGGCTTAAGATCAGGAACTGGGCTCTTGACCTGGATCTGTTCTTGTGGGTGTTGCGGGGTGACGTGGCATTTGGGCATTGGTTGGAATATTCAACATATTTGGAATAAATTTGGATAATAAACTATGTATTAATTAGATAAAATGTTTTTGTGCTTTTATTAAGTAATATGTTTGTTTGTTTATTGTTATTTATATTTTTAATGTTTTTTTCATAAATATTTAGTATTGTATTTTCACTTTTATTTTCAGTTTTTCATAAATTTGGCATTTGCAATTTATATGTTATTTTTAAATGTTTTAATAATTGTAAAATCTTAATTTAATTTAGATTATTATATTATTAAGTCTTAAGATCTTACACATGTTCTCCCACTAATCAACTTCTAAACAAAAGATCTAAACACATGATCTTACATTATTTTAACATTATATTCTCTATAAGAACACTCTCACATGATCCCGCATTGATGATGCCCTAATATGCCCTGTCATGACAGTCAACATGCCATGTGATTCTTAAACTAATACGTAACAATTCGGTTCATATCATATAAAATAATACAGTTTTGTTATATTAATACTATTTCTTATCCATCGCCTCCTACGCGACAGCTAAGAATTATAGTAACCTAATAAATACAAAGATATTGGTAATATTTAAATACATCTTATACATGTGAATGTAAAAGCATTTAATCTCGAGCTCTGAACCTACATTGTCTACATTGTTCTCCAATTATAGTACGACATTGCATATTCTATGATAACTTTATTTATATTCATCAGCCGTAAATCTTTATTAGGTTACATGTGGCTAAGGCTAATCAGTCAAATTAGCTGCGTACCTGAAGATTTGTTGACGATGCTGAGAAAAGAATGCTAATCACATCACAATCAATCTCAAGAGAAAGATATTAATACGCAGCTTGAAAAAACAAGAACTTGAGCCAAGAAACTGCTGATTTTTTTATACTTGAGCTAAACATTTCATTTCACCAGTCTTGTAACAGAAAATCAATGGCAGAGACACCAATTGATTTGAGTAACAAAAGATAACAGATGAATCAAATCAAAAAGGCTTCATCTCAGTTGCAATCAACTCTATGAGAGAACCAAGGCAGAATCTATCATATTTACAATGCAAAGAGCGGTCATCTTCAGTACTTACCGGAACCAATATTCCATCTTTGAAAACGAATAATGGTTCACGCCAAGTCTTAGGGCTTGGATATGTGTTTCCTTCATCTAAGCTCCCTTGCAATTCAGCAGAATGACTGCAACATTCGACGGAGGCAAGAAAATTACCAGATAAGCTTTTGCAAGAACATGCTTCCTTTTCTGGACATTCCTCATGACCTTCGACCTTCGCTTCCTTCATAGTACCATTGTTTTTCGCAGAGATGAACTTTCTAACAGCAGCAATAAGCTCCACTGATAATGAAGAAACCGCATCATGTATACCGTCTGTTGTGATGGAACTCCTACCATGTCTCAATTCGCGAGTAACTAATTTATGCATTGAATCCTGGAGGATGGAGACACACTGGGAGCAGCAACGGTACAAACACACCAAACTAGGGTCATCCAGAGGATTGGTTCTTGCAGTTGTTTCAACTTGTTCAACTGGTTCAGACATGTTGTTTGCAGATTCCAAGCCATGAACTCCGTCCCCAGCATTACCGTTATTTGAGTCAGCTGATTTGTGGGGATCTTTCAGGGAGATAGAATTGGGATCCCCAGATCCATTAGGATGGTCTAGGGAATCAGCTTTTCCTTGCAAAGAAATTACTGTTCCTGTAGCTTCTACCTCGCATGATCCATGGGGAGTTTCATTCTGTTCATGGTCAGCTGCAGGAGAGTTAAGATCAAGGAGAACAGCCTGCCGAAAGGAACTCACTCCTGAATCCTCAATCACCATTTCAGTATTCGAAATAACATCAACATTCTCTTTGACCAAAGTTAAGCCATCCGTACTGTGGGTTGTAAGATGTCCAGTATCTTCAAGAAAAGGTTCATGATTTGTTCCACTATGACCATTTGCAATCTCTACAACTGGCTGATGATTGTCGGTAAGATTACTAGATGCTATAGGGTCTGGACAATTCATGTTTTGGGTATCTTCTTTCACGTCTTCTTCTGACCCTTTTGATTGATCAGATGTTCCTTGCTCAGTTGGCTCATTCCTCACTGATGGATTGACTACAGAACAAGGCAATGGATTCGCCGACTCTGTTTCAGTGGTTGATTCAAAACTGTAAACAATGAAGTTGTGTTATGTGTATTAAAACGAACATACATAAAACAAAATATTTTAAGGCGTACCTTCGCATCGCATATACCCAACTATTAACCAGATCTTCCAGATAAGCAACTTGAGACAAAATTCGAATATATCGACATCTGTCCTTTCCAGCGTTGATTTTAACATTGATCCGTCCAACTAAGAGCTCCAGAACTTTCCGTACCTCAAAGGAGACTTCCCTCAGTGATATATAGGTTCCTCTATATGCTGATAATCCAACTGCAGTAAGACCTCTGACAATGCCAGTTGAATCTTTGCCTTTAACATTGTTGGAATCGGAAGAAGTAATAGTCTGCTCTGAGGAATTACAAGGGCGAGTGATACACGAATTAAATGGCCATCCCCTCCAAGGACCAGAAACATCTGCACTTGGCCCTTCCTTAAGCTTTGATGTCACCCAACAAAGTTCAGCAAATTGAGGATACTGTAGTATTTGATAACCAAATGTGGAGACAGCTAACTGCAGGCTTGATTTTGCTTTCACATTTATGTTGATAGGTAATGGTGGAACTTTTAAAGAACCATCATCAACAGGTTTTGATTTAACACCTGCTTCTTCCCCTGCGCAATGATCAGTATTATTCTGATAAGCTGCATCTCTGCAACCCTGGTCAGGATTCTCTCTTTTGTATTTCTTCTGTAAGCCACAGTGAGTATGGGTTCCCTGATGCACCAAATGAAGAAACACCTGGATCGCCCGCCTTGACAACTCAGTAGCAGACAGGTCAATGGCTATATCCTGGTCAGAACTTTCAACAACTTGTACATTGAATTGTGGAACAGCCTCAGACATAGTTGGCTGATACTCCTTTGATAGGTCGGTCTTAAAGAACTGTTGTATCTTAGGAGGCAGGAGTTTGTAGGGCATGCCAGAAGTAGCCTACCACCAAAAAATAAACAATTTTAGTCTCAAGTGTTGACAGTCTTCTCATAGACTGCTAATCAACAAAAAAGCAAATACAAGGATTTGAAAAAGCATAGTACAGAAAACTAAGGCCTACATTACCCTTCACAATTTAAAAAAAAATAAAAAAAAAAAAATAAAAGACAGCCCATTATCAACTGCCGAAACAAGGAAAATATATTGGAGAAAACAATATTAAGGAGGGTTAAAAGTTAAGCATACCAGAATCATCATCTTTGTGGAAACTCGCAATGATTCTACTTGCTCAAAAAATGTGTTCCAAGCATGTGAAACTCGAACAGCATTCTGTAATGCCTTTTCCTCTCCCATTTCTTGAAAAAGGGGAGAACAATTCTCCTTTACAGAAGCATCATCACACTCGACCTCCTTATTCAGTGGAGTTTCTGTCTCTACTGCCCACAAGTCAATTCTTGGCATGAATACCACACATGATTTCCTGCTTGCACATTTAACTACAAGTAGACCAGATATTCCAGTTAGGCAAGTTCACTGGAAATGGGGTAGAAACCAAGCAAATAAAATGTAACAGAAGATGAAAGACTTAAATATCGCCATTACGGAAGTAAAATCATGGAAAGTTTAATAACGAGATACGTACTTAATAAGTGAGTTACGCCTAGCACCAGATCCCCATTTCCTTCTTGTGAAATTGTTGCTGTGTCTATCTTCTGCATCTCTGCATTACCAATAAAACAATGCAAGATACAAGAAGCAAGATGTCGTTGACCAGATTTAGGACCTCCAGCAATAAGCAGTTGGAACCCTGATTTGCTCGTTGATTCTACAGAAGCATTCCCCAAAAGCCCAGGACGTCGGCAGACTCTATGTACCATGAATTGTGGAGAACCCAAACTACAGTCGCCAGTACCAGGAATGCTTGCAACAGATCTAACCAAGTCAGATCCTCCATCCAGTATCCCCGTATAAGAAAGTCTTTGTACTATATCCTTTACA